GGCCCCGATTCCCGCCGGTAGCTCGCGCGGGCCCGGACGCCGCGGGGACAGGCCGCCTCCTGGGTGACCGCGGGTCCTGCGCGGGCTGGGAGCGCTCCCTGCAGGGGCTGGCCTTCCTGTTCTCCGATTTTCCTAACTGGGTGAATTGCACTGTAAACCTGGGAAATGCCCCGGTAATACCACAGTAAGCATTTAATTTTCCCACGCCCGGCGGTGGTGTGGGTTTTCCTAAGCGGTTCATCAGTTTAATCACTCTCCGCGGGAGGAATGCACCTGAGTTTGGACTCTTCAGGTCAGATCTTCAAAACATTTCCTTTCCTAAAACTGTACAGTTGTGCTGCCTTGGGTGTCACATCTCAGCTCTGAGCTTGAAGGATTGGGACTGCCCGGGCGATTAGAACACAGGCACAGGAGGTGGATACTGACCTGCAACAGATAAATTTGGGTGTTGTAGAAGGAATTGTGGAAGGCTGATCATTTTGGCCTTTCAGAGACTTGTATCTTAGTAACCAAGCTCTTTTCCATTGTGACTTCAGGGTGCAGAGACTTCTAGCTTTGTGTTTAAAGACTTCAACAGGTCTGAACTTAGAGTGGTCAAAGTGAGTTCTTGTACTGGGTGCCTTTTTCTTCTAGTATTTGTAATTTCCGCCTTTTCCCCTCCACTACCCCCTGTTCTTTGCTTTCCCTCCTGCTCCTCAAGGACTTTGGCTCTTACAGGGGGCTTGACCCAAATGTTTCTTGAAGCCAGGAACAAGCCGAATTGGAGTATGTGTTCAACTATGAATTAAATCTAAATACTTAAAAATTTCTTTGGCAAACCACTTTAATAGTATATATATATATATATATATATATATATAAAGTTTAGAGCCCAGCATCCATTCTCTGAATGTTGTAAGTGTAGATGCAAAAAGTGCGTAAGTGATGAACATCTGTGAGCCACACATAGGTGTCCGGTCAGTTAGGATCACCATAGGGAGGAACAAGCCGCAGCACAGTGGTGTACTGCTGAAAGGTGAACACATTTCTCCACTGGGTGTCTGGGAGAGGATACCGCTGAAATGTGGCTAAGTAGAGTCTTGAGATAAATGGAAATTAAGAGGGCGAAAGATGACTTTCATGGGGAATATAAGTGCTAGGGATTGAAGGCATTTATGTACATGCAATACCTCAAGATGACCACAGTCTAGAGAAGAGCAAAAAAAGATAATTCTTGTCATGTGGAGGTTAATAATGTGGATTTTGGGAAGAAGCTGCTGGATTCGGTGTCCAAAAAGCTCATGAAAACAGTGTTTTCAGTAGAGTCTTGTTACAAGCACCAGGTCTGCAGGGAGTTGAATGAATAGGAAGTAAGAAGTGAACACAGAAAATTTTTCAGGAAAAGGAAGCAGAGAAGGGGCCCGAGAGGGGTCTGTTGCAGGCACGAGTATATCATGTAAGTATGGCAGGTGCAGGGGATGTGATATTAAAGATCTATCGGTGGCCAGTAACTAAGAAAGGTTTCCCTTGTGGGTTAATTTAGCTGTCAATACCATGTCATTTCGTATTTGGTGCGCACTCTCAGTTTGTCTATCTCCTTGACCCTCATTCCTGGCTCTGTTGATGCTGCTCTCCTTTGATAACTGTTGTTATTGCCACTGATTCTGAAGTGTCATCAGCAGTTGACCTCCAGTTCACTGCCCACACTTTGCATTCTGGGGGATCTCATTCTCAGAGCTTTGACTGCCATGTGTTTAACATGCTATACTCTGTCCTGGGAGATGAAATCTCTTTCTAGATGTAACTGGAAGCATCTTGCCAGGTGTCACACATGGCACCAAAGAACAGTGTTCCCCCAAATTGAAGGCCATGCTGTAACTCCTTACTCCTGTGTTTCTGATGCATTCCTCAGGGAGCAGTGCCAGCTCTCCCCAGCATTTCTATCTTGCCTTTCCCTTATGCTTGCAGCCCTTCCAGTCACTGTCTGGGTAATTCCCTCATGTTTTCCTGCTTCCTATTGCTAATGGCAACCTTTGATGAAGTTGCCTGCCTCTTCACTTGGGTTAGAGCAGTTGTCTTAAATTGGACTCCGGTCTGGTTATGCAGCCAGCCCCAATCTCTTCTCAGGCCGAGACTCATCTTAAGATCTGAGTGTGTTGCTTTCCTGCTTGTCCTTCAGTGAATGAGAGACAGACTGTGCATAATGCTTAATAAGAGACCCTTAAGGTCTGATCTGAGTTCACCTGACCAATGCCTTGAACATAGTGCCCTCCCCAGCACGTATGTTTGCCTGGCTGGCACCTGTAAATTCATAAGAATTCTCCAGAAACTTTCCTAATTGTGGTGCAAATGTCCATCCCAGACTTCTAGGCTGGGGACCTGGGAGGAGTGTTCTCCATGGCCCCATCTCAGCAGTGTCTTCTGTGTCCTGTCTTGAGGATACGCCTTGCCTAATAGCTGGCTTGCAATGTCTTGTGTCACTTAGTGGATCATGATTTGCTGCTTTTTATTGTTCCCAAACATTTCCTTGGCATATTAGAGTAAAGCTACTAACTATGTAGGATAGGTAGTATACTTTTATTAAAAATTTCCAGTAATTATTTACACAAATCAGGAGTATATATAGTGTTTCCATTTTAATATGTGTTTTTGTTTTGCTAGGTTATTCAGCTTCTTAAGGCTGGAAAAGCCAAGGAGGTCTCTTACAATGCCCTAGCCTCACACATAATTTCAGAGGACGGGGATAATCCCGAGGTTGGAGAAGCTCGAGAAGTCTTTGACTTACCTGTTGTAAAGGTGAGTAGAAATCTGATTTTGTCTTTTCCTCATGTGACTTGAAAGCAGTAGGTTGGCATTTCAGTGTAGCTCTTTTTAGAGTTCCCTGAAGTTCTGCTGAAGATGGGAAGTTGCCAGATTAGTAAAGCCCTTAATAGCTCAGTAACCTGCCTTAGTTTTGTGCCTTTTAGTTCTCTCATGATATAGCAGGGTTCTGTATGAGTAATTCTAGGTCTGTCACAGTTCCTGTGCTACCACTGCCTGGACACTGCCAGCCAAAGAAATTTGTCCTAGCAGTTGGATCTGTTGTCAGGAATCAGGTGGGTATTTGCATTATTGTAGGAAAGTGTATTTGATTCCCAAAGCAGGCTAATCTCAGGAGGAGGTAGCCTGGGACAGGGTTGCTCTCCTTCCTTGGGGTGGCAAGTGGTCCTGATTTCTAGCTGACCCATTGGTTGTGCCATTTAACTAGTGTGACAATGGTTACAATGGCCATTAGTTATACTGTGAACATGGTGGCCATCTGGACTGCTGTCAACTTGACCTGTGGGTAGTTTATTATAAAAAGTGGGACTTTGGTGGATAAGGTGTTCAGATTCCGTTGATCTACATACTGTGCTATCTGCTTTAGCCAACAAGAGACTGCAATTAAATGTGTTCTTAAATTAATTTCGTAATAATCTTCTCTATTATGTTTGTTTTAAAATAGTTCTACACAGTCATGTTTTTCCTCTGCATGCACTTACTTTAATGAAAAAAAGAGTCAGTATTGAAGTTATTGTGATTTCATAATGCTAGGATTAGGAGTTAAGAAAGATGTCCACAGAGATGCTGTCTGGCTGCTGGGAAGTGGTGACATCACTGTATCCAGGGTCTGAAACTGCTGTGCCATCTAAAGACTTGACTTTTGAAAATAAACCTGAAAGTGGGTTTATCTCAAGAAGAGGTTTTCATGAACGACACTGTCAAGCTGCTCAGTCAGAGTGATTGTGGATATTGGCAGTGATAAATGCAGTGGCCATATTTGCACCAGCAGCATGTCTTATTATGTCTCCTTGGCCCACTCTGAAGACTGATGGTCACCAGGTTTCCTGGTCCTTTCACCTGATGCCACTTTGTCTCCAGGGACTAGGCTGTGAACAGGGCAACCTCTTCGTTCCCTTCTGCACTTCATTTCCCCTTCCTGCTAACTTTCTCAGAGGCCTTGTACTATTTCTGTACTAAAGATATGTACTTTGCATATCTTAATGCAGATTTCATATGAAAGGTTAATCTTATTAACACATTTTTGGGGTTGGAGTCACTGTTGGTAGACCAGCAACATCAGTGTTGTTAGACCTGTCTGATCCCTAACCCATTTTTGGCATAAATACTGTATGGCATCCCTTTTATTATCCAGAAATGAAATTTACATGTAAGATAACATCACATGGCAGACAGTGTAACTCAGTGATAGAGCTATGCACAGCATGCCTGGGTCCCCTGTGTAGTCCCAGCACCAAAACCAAACATACAATGCACAAGCTGAAATGGAAAGGAGAAGTCAAAGGAGAATGATTGACAAGCGTGCATTTCTACTTGTAAACACTTGTGCACAGCCACGTGGGAGGATGCAATGAAGCTGTCAGATCTGCTCTCTGTAGGATCACAGCATGTGACTTTTGCCCGTGCAGAACCAGCCTCCTAGCCTGCAACCTGAACCGGCAGCTGTGAGGTGACATTTCAGAATGGTGGTCAGTCCTTGGTAAAGTTGCAGGCTAAGCCAAGCAGTCTGTTTCCATTTCATACAGTAGTTGTATTCCTGGGAAAGTCAGTAGATAATGAGGCTGCATCAATTACCCAGGACCTCCGCAGTGTTCAGTCGGCTTCTGCAGTTACTGCCGTCTGCCAGTGCAGTGTGTCATGTCCCTGCTGCAGTGTGTCATGTCCCTGCTCCGCTGCCCAGTTACCATAGTCCTTTAAGACGAATGCTCTTCCATCTGCACCTGGTTAGCCTTCCAGCCCACTTGTCGTCTGTGGCAGCACCTGCACTGTCCAGGGCCCGTCATATTGCATTGCATGCACCCTGAGAGGGCTTTTCAGGGTGGGTCCCCAGTTGGTGCCCTTCAGGGCAGTGTGGGAGACCTTGTGTTCCTAGTCCAACCAGGTGTTTCTTAGTGGATTCTGCTCCTGATGGTTGAGTCTAAAATCAGCTACCAAAGATAGGCTTGGCTCTTAAGGAGCATACCCTTGGCCTTTACCTGGATATTCAGTTAGATGGTGCACTTTACAAATACAGCATCCTTGTGCACAGTAACAATTTATCTATCATTGTTGAATTTTATAGATGTTTAAAGTTCAAATTTTAAGCAAAAGAACTTCTGAAATGATTTTCTAAATAATAGTGTTTTTCTCAGTGGCCTTGAAACATCACTGGAAATGTTGATTAGCTGACTTGTAGTGGGCTTATTTTTGTGTATTGCTATTTGCTCTTGGGATAAATTCTCCTTACTACTTTGCTGTTATAGTTCTCCATTTCTGCTGTAACATAAGTGTCCCTTTTTAACTTTGCATTATTCTACATAGATAACCTGAGCTGCAGGCCCCAGGTGATTCTCTTCTGTCTGCCTGGACTAGACTTCATGCTAGCTACACCTGCAGTCTTCAAACTGGGAAAGCCTGGCCTGTTCCCTGGGGAGGCATTTCAGGGTGTGTGATGCAGGGATGGCCATAAGGGTGTATGTTTCCACACCGGTCCTTCCGAGAGCTGCCTGAGAGCTTGCCTGTGGTCACAGAGCTCCTCTGCCCTTGGCAGGAAAGATCGTCCTTCACTCATCCTAACCTTCACACAGTGCATTGTTCCAGGCTCTGGAAACCTTCCTGGGTACCAGACGAGGGCAGCTGGCAATGTGGATCCACGGAACTCTCCTGTGGGGCCCAGTCACGGCTCCTAGCTCCAGGGGCTTCTGGTGTCACTGCTGAGAATGAATATGCCACAGAAAGGTGTTCTGAACGCAGGCTGTTGATGCCAGCCCAGCACTGGACTTCAGCTGGACTTCTCTAGGATTATCAAAACAGGAAAGGTGTTTTCTTATCTTAGATAAGCACCTGCACAGAAACATTAAGGGCTTTCTTTCCAATATAGCGCATCTTATCCAATAAGTTAAACATTTTGGAGTAATTATCAAATCATTATGAAATAATTAGTGCAAGTACAACCAATATTTTGTAAAAGGTTTTTTATTTTTATCTTTTTACAGAAAATAGGCTTAAACTTTTAGAAGAAATATAGATGTCACCTAAATAATGCTGTGGGGGCTCTCTGTTGTCTGAAACTCATTAAAGTTAACTTGATAAAAGTAGTTTGAAGAGCCAGTGTGATGGCACAGACCTGTAATCCCAGCTACCCGGGAGGATGAGGCAAGAGCGTCGTAAGTTGTAGGCCAACTTGGGCAACTTAGAGCGACCCCTGACTCAAAATAGAAAGTAAAAAGGCCTAGGGATGAAGTTCAGTGGTAGAACATCCCTGGTTCAATCCCCAGTATCAAGAAGAAAATAGTTCCAGGATCATTAGCTTGAAATACAGGTGGTATGAATGGGGCAGAGACTGCATTTCTCTTTTTCATCGTTGTCCCCTTAGTGCCTTGCACCATCTCTGCACAAAATAGATCTGAAATAAATATTTGATGACTACACTGATGGATGAGTAATGAGTCTATAAGTATTCCACTCAGCTGAAGTTTCTGGAGTCATATGCCTAAATGGGGGCATTAGTATATTTTTAGCTTGTAATTGTTTAAAATAGAGCTATGAGGATAATGATTAGTATAATTAAAAAAATTAAATATAGAGATATGAGATGAAATAATTTTCTAAGAATATAATACCTAAAAAGGTAATAATTCATCTATTTTATGTTTAGTGTCTGTTTTGAAATTCATAAGGTTACCATGCAGCTAGAAATAATTTTTATGGCTTATAAACATTATATCTTGGCTTTATTTAAAAAATAAAAATGTCGCTGGGGTTGTGGCTCAGTGGTGAATGCTTACCTAGCATGTGCGAGGCACTGGGCTCAATCCCTGGCACCATATAAAACAAATAAATAAATAAAGGTATTGTGTTCATCCACAACTAAGAAAATATTTTTTAAAAATTTGAATTTGGACTTGATTGAGCCCAGATTCAAAAAGGGATGTATGAGGCCCTGACAGTACCTCGCTGAGGCGAGGGAGGGGTAGGTAGCAATCCCATCCCTTTGGTTCTTAAGTCTGTTTTCACAAGTTTGTGGACCTAAAATTTAAATGTGTCTGCATGATGGTGCTTCATCTGGATTTGAGGTTCGGGTTTGGGTATAATCATTGTGAGGTTGCTCAGTCCCTTGAGTGCCCATAGTTATTTCTTAGTGTTATTTCTGGATGTTTTATAATCAGTCACAATGTTCTTTTAATTTCTGGTGAAATGATGTCATTTTGATCACATATTGAAAAAAGTTTTTGACTTAATCTTTTCTTTTTCAGCCTTCGTGGGTGACTTTGTCCGTACAGTGTGGAGCTCTTCTGCCGTATCCTTTTTTGAGGGGCGGGAAAGGGTTGCTCTGGTTTTAAGACTGAAACGACAATTACTGAGTGAAATGTGGACTCGTTGCTGGGGACCAACTGTTCGTTTGTACCCTATCCCTGCTGTTTTCCATCCTGAATCAAATGTTATGGACTTGATCCTTGTCATTATCCATGTCAAAAGGGGACAAGCTGTGGCAAGCAGCTCTGGCTAGGACTGGGAAGCAGGAGTTGTAGTTCTTTTCAACTTTTGTGAAGCCTAGGCCGAGTATTTCTAGAATCCAAAGTCTACGTAAACCAAGTTGTGAGTGGTTCAGAGTGCTTGGGGACAGCAGGAGAGGCAGGTTCTGTTTTAAAGCATGCGTTGTTGGTCTTTCTAGTCACCGGAAGGGTTGTTCATTCCGTGCACCATTTCAGCACCTGCTGCGCGTTGGCTGCTGAGAGTGGAGTGGGGTGATCCCTCGTGCTCCCTCGCAGCCGTTCTTGCATGCAACTGCCCCAGGCACTGTCAGGTGCCAGGAATGGGGCATCTGCTTATACGCTCTTTACTCCCATGCATGGTGGCTTCTGTTTCTCTCTGAAAGCAGGAAGCTTCCCTGGAGATTGACTATAAGCAGAGCCTGATTGTGGAAGTCACTTCTTTGAAGAAGTCCTGATCTCAGATCGTTAGTGTTGAGATTGGGCTTGGACAGGAGTTTGTCATGCACCCTGTTTGACTTTGCAGCTGTACTAGGGACTTCCTTTGAGTGCACTTGTTACCTAGGAAATCAGTGCACTTAGAAGATATCATACAATGAGGATTTAGAGAGGGCCTAAAAGAAATGGAAAATATCCCTTTAAAAGCAGTTCTTCCAAGATTTTTCACCCAGTCTAGAGTTGAAGGAAATAAGTTCTTGTTTTTTTTTTTTTTTTTCCTTTTTTCTGTGTGTGTGTGTGTGTGTGTGTATGTTATTTTGGTTTTTGTTTTTAGAGCACAGGTTAAAAAAAGCGACTGCGGGCCTGGCGGAGTCTTTGAAGGTTGGCCAGTTTCCCTGAGGGGACTGTTTCCTCCGCACACCTGACTCCCTGGAGTTTGCGGATGCCCTCCACGCCTTTCTGAGCTCTTGCCTGTCCTTAAGAAGCCTGAAGGACTGGAGAAGGGACCTGGCTCCTGGTTGACAGTGTGCTCTGAGGTTCCTGTGGTCCCTGTCTTGGAGCTGGGTCGTTCGGTTGACGTGGGGTGGGGTGGGGTGGGGCTGAAGCCCTCCCCGTACTGCAGGTCCTCGATGGCCAGGGAGACTCAGCACTGTGAGATGGGCCCGTGGAGGAGATGTCAGGAACAGTGTGGTTTTGAGTCCTTGCTCTTCTGCACCGCTCTCAGTGGGGAGCTTCCCTCCTCTGGGAAGAAGTACTCTGTTAGCCTGTTTTGAATTCTGGACGCGACCACATTCAGAGACCGTCCTTCTGGTGGGTCAGGTATCTGTATCTGCAGGCTCCTGGAGTCCCATGTGCCTCACGTGTAGCCTGATCTCAGGGTTGGTGAATAGTGACGTTCGGTAGCTGAGTTGAAGGAAGTTTAAGATCAGCTGTAGAACTAGGAAGGGTCTGGGGATTTCAGATTTCTCCTGAGAAAGGGGACTTGGCTGTCTTGCCAGAGTGCACAAGATGGTGGTGATAAAGCACAGGCTGTCCTATGAAGGAGATTTCTACCATGGAGTGGGAGCATTCACATCAGGGTTTCTTACTCTGCTTTTGAAATAATTGCGGTGCTCTGTGTGTGTGTGTGTGTGTGTGTGTGTGTGTGTGTGTGTGTGTGTTTTCACTTGTGGATGTGTAGATAATTGGCTATTGGAGGTGAAAGTGTTTTCCCCATGAATGTGTAAGTGGAGAGATTGGAGTTTAAAATGAACTGCACTGAAAATGGGTGACTTCCTTGTGTTTTACCTACTTATTCCAGATTACTCTGCACTCTCTTGTGGTCAGCTCAGGCCTGTGTCTTCTGAGTGGTGTCGATGGAGGGGGAGTGGGCAAATGAGGGATGCGTGCTAGGGAGGCCCGGCCTGCACTCTTCTTACTGCGTTTTAATCTTAATAACTATACAACAGAGTCAATGGATTTTCTCCAGAGTCATGTCAGATTTTTTTTGGAATCACTGCCTGCCTTTCTCAGGTAAGCTTGGTTACAGTTAGTCTTGTGTTATTTGCATATGATAGTTCTGAATGTTTACATGATTAGATTTGCGACTTGTTAACCTGCTTTAGAGAATCCTTGTACTAAATTGACTGTATGTCAGTATAAACTTCTGACACACTTAAATTATTTAAATATCTTGCCTGTTAAGATTCAAAGTTTTTTAAATTGAGTAAAACTTTTCTAATTTAAAGAAATACAAAGATTTAAAACTTGAATGTGAAAAATATTTAAAATGAAATTAAAAAATGACAAGGGAAATTCAGTCAGGACTATAGTTGAAGAATTTAAATAATCTGTATTTTCATATATAATAAAAAAAATAATAGCCTATCAGGAAGGAGATTATTACAAAATAAACAGCAACATCATCAGGTGCTTCATGCCATGAAAACAAAGCAAAACAAAACAAAAAATAACAAAGATTTAGCAGATGAGTCAGAGAAGTGATATACAACCTTATAGAGAGGAATCACAAGTAATAACTAAGTACTTGATACAGTTTCTGATTAAAGATGTGAACATTTTCATAGCAGTGAGATAAGAATTTTTGTTGATCGAGGTTGTAACAATGTGCTTAGTGCTGGTGGGGACGCTGAGGACAGAGTCTGTGGCTCCCTGCTGGCAGGGTGTAGGCCCCAGGGACACTGTCTGGAGAAGCCAGGTGGTGTCCGGAGCCTGGAGGCATTCTCCTCGCTCTTCTTTCCTTTAGCAGTCTGAGGTCTGGACAGATAGTGCATAAAGATGTTCATTGCTTATTTATAAGAGGGTAAAATTGGAAACACTCAGATCACCATTTGGAGATGATTAAGAAACCTACTGTACAGTACTTACACAGTAGTTTAGATATTTAGCAATTTTTAAATAAGATCTTATGAAAACATTAGAAGATACAGAAAATGTTTTAAATGGAAAAAAGCAGCAGATATCACAGGTATGTACAGTTTTAAATAACAAGTAACATTGAGAAGAAATACCTGAAGGAGGGATGAAAATGTTCTTGGTGGTTATTCTGGAGAGCAAGAGAATTGGATATTTATGCTTCTTTGTTGGAGTTTGTCCTAGTTCCCAGCTGTGAAAATCCCTTAAGCTATAATAAAAGCTATTGTTAAAAATTCAAGTTGGTATTACTTAAACTCACTTTCAAATGACATGGAACAGTGTATTTAGACTTAATGGTCATCATCCTGGTAAAGATGAAATGGATGTCCTTCCACGTCACTTCTCTGGCAGCCCCTGCTGGCCGCTGGCTGCTCTCGGGTGATGTTCTAAGGGGCGTCTGTTGCTTCCTTTCCTGGCGCACTCTAGGAAGGGCAAATCAGGGGTGCTGAGGGAGGAAGGGAGTCTGACTGCAGTTTCTCTGCGTGCCTTGGTGGTGGGGGTACTCATGTTGGATTGTTGGCCAGCTCCCCACACACACGAGGGATGTTACCAGTTGGAATTTGTCTCCTCCTTTGCCCAAGCAATGGGTAAGTAAATTTAATATGTTCTTATTACTGTCTCTTATAAATTCTGGAGTTCTTTAAAATCGCAAAATTCTCATTTTTTGCTGCATTGATTTGACGCAGATCCTTAAAAAAGCAAAATTGCTTTTTTTTCTATCTGAACAGGAATTTGTATTTTTCATATCTAGTGTAAATACACATATTTACATGGTAATGATCTTTAAAGTTGACTAAAACGAAACCTTTTAATGCTGGGTGCTATGGCTATATGTTATTTTTATTGTTTTCCTTATACTTTCTCTGTATGTTCTAAATTTATAATCAGCATATTAGAAAAATTAAGAACAAAAACATTTCCTTTTAGAGAGAGAGGGAGAATTTATTTTTAAATTTTTTTTAGTTTTCGGTGGACACAACATCTTTATTTTTATATGGTGCTGAGGATCGAACCCAGCCCCTGCACATGCCAGACATCTACAGCTTGAGCCACATTCCCGGCCCAAGAACAAAAACATTTTATTACTACTTACACATAAACACATAAATGTGGTATATTTTGGCTACAGTGTATACTTTTCATTTGCTTATACCAATATCGATTGAATTCTGGGTTCAGAACCTCAGAGGCTCAGAGCCTCCTCTCCCGAAAGTGTCTGACTCAGTGGAAAAGGGACCAGGAAGTGGACCATGCTGGCTTGGGGTGGGGCAGGGAGCCCTGGGCGCCTTTTTCAGAGATGTAGGTCAGTAATGTGGGGAAATAAAACCAGATCATGTGCCTATAAGACGATTGCAGTGTTTTACATTCGGTATGAGATATTATTAAATATTAACTGAGTCTAGCACTACAGAACATTTTTAGTCTGGTAACCCTTAATGTAATATGACACATACAAGTGGGGATACAATGTATATGACACACTCCTATGGTGTGCTAGATGAGGTGGCGTGGTGTGCGTGCACATGTTTAGAAAGGAGCGTGTCAGCAGGCCTTGATAAGAAGTGTGATCTGGGCAGAACTGGAGTAAAGAGGTGAGAAGGATTTCCAAATAGAGCAAGATCAAAGGAGGAAGCGGCCTACGCGGGAGGCTAGGGAAGAGGACGAGGTGGTCAGAGCAGTGGTTCTGTGTTTGGTTGTAGAGGGAGGATGTAGTTGGGCAGGCAGGTGGGTAGAGACTGTGGAGAACCTCAAACCTCAGGTGTGTGAATTTGGAACTGGTAAAGAAACCAGTAGGATGCGTCTTTATTTTTTTCTTTGTATTCCTAATTTTGAATTATAAATGTTTACATTACAGATTTGGGAAACAAACAAAAACAACCCCCCAAAATAAAAATAATTTATTATGATTGAAGGTGAACCTGGTCTGAGAGCTGTCGTAGAGGTCCGGTGAAGATTAGATGTGACTGGGTAGAAAGTCTTACAGATCGAAGACAAAGATTTGGATCTTGATTAGCACATATAACACGGAACCTAGCAACAGAGGGGCCTTGGCAGGTCCCACTGAGTTGGGAATCCTGTGGGGCAAAGACAGAAGCCGTGACTTTAGATCGGATCTGTGCCAGGTCTCTGGTGGATTCCTTCCCATGGAAATTAGGAGCTGGAGCTCTGCTGTGCATTGCTGATGGAAGAGAGAGGAGCCTGGTTTGTGAGAGAAGGCGGTGATGTGGGTTTGAAAGGTGGAGCTGGGGGTAGGTGGGCTATCCAAACCTAGGACTTGGACATGGTGTGGCATGAAGGGAATTCCCACAGCGTCGTGCTGCGTGGAGCTGATGCCCAGGGTGGAACCGCTGGTGACATGCACAGGGAGGAGGCCTTCTCACAGAAAGAATTGGGAAAATGAATGAAGAAGACCTTGGAGGAATAAGATATTGTTTTTAGAAGTAAAAAATGAAGTCGGACTTAATCATTTTTATTGCTAAGAAATAGCAGTGTGTCAGATGAGGATGTAGAGCATGGATTTGTGGCAGACAGTTGCACAGGGCCTTGTGTGTTCCCTCAGTCCTGTTTGTGGCCCAGGAGCAGACGAGAGAAAGGGTGCAGGCTAGTGAAGCATGCGTCTTGGTTGGCTCCATCAGCGCCACTCAGCTCTGCTGGTGGATCTTGGTTTCTAGGCTGTGGGACACCAGCATAGTCAGCACAGCCTCAGAGCTGGATTCCCAGCTGTGGCCAGACGGCCTAATGTCTGATCCTAAGATGTGGGGCTGGAGAGGGCCCTCCTATGGCCAGCTGAGCAGAGCTCTGCTCACAGCTTTTGGATGAAAGGCAGAGAGGGGAACTTAGCAAGGTCTTTGATATTCTGTACCCTCTCAGCAAATTCATTAGGTGAGAAGTCAGAATTCAGAATCAGTAGATCTTCATGGGTCCCTCCCTGTACTTATTATAATTTGTAACTTACTGTGCTGAACTGAAATTCCTAATATGTCATGAGGTAGAATAAAAAGCACTTGAGTTAGAAAGTGGTTTAAGTATGCATGGGGAAGACTTTGATCATATTTATATGAAGAAGCCCTGGAGATTTTAGTTTAAGAAAAGTACACTGGGAGCACTAATATAATGTGGTTGCTAGAAAATGTTAATTTGGTCCTAAGATACACGAGCAGGCATGTGCAGTGTGCAGTGAGGACTCGGGCCCAACATGTCCTTGAAGAGTGCCTCCTTCGCAGCCTGTAGAGAGCAAAGAGGCATGTGTTAACCACCGTCTAGACGGGCCAGACATGAACAAGTACACAGAAACGCTGGTGGACACACCAGCTACCGAAGTAGCAGGAGGGGTTGATTGAGGCGGTCAGTCTCTGCTCTGGTTGGAAACCACCAAGGAATCTGCCTTTCCTTGGTGCCCTAGCACACCATGCACACATGCACACCCCAGGCAAGACCCACCTTGCTTTGGTGGTTCTCAGTGACCTTCTGTCTTTTCCTGTCAGGCTGTTGATACAAGCTGGAGCTCTTTGTTGGAGTCTTCCAGAACTCTCCCAGAGAGAGGTAGGGAAGGGAGCTTGTGCCACCAGGAGTTGGGAAGCACAGAGATCATCTGCCTTCTTCTGAGTCGGTGTTGATGCAGGCTGAGGCCTCTGTTGTAATTGTGGGGTAGGTGTCGGGGAGTAGGTTCAGAGTCTAATGGAGAGCCTGCCCAGGTCATAACTTGAATCTGGAAGTCTTAAGATGAATGTCCTTTGCATTCTGTATTTCAATATTTCTTGACTGCCTACCCATGTGCCTTGCACTGTACCAAGTTCAAATATGTGTAGGACAGAATCTTAGGTAATCCCTCATCTGTAGTAAGATCCTAGTCTTTAGTCTTTAGCTCATCACTCAGACTGGACGGTCTTTTGGCAGGTGATGAGACCTAAAGTAGAAGAGAGGGTACTTTTGATTGGTTGTAGGGAATCATTTATTCCTGGGGAAGAGGTGAGATTCTAATCCTCTGCCCCTTGAAGCTTGGAGCAGTGTCGGGTGGGGGACAAAACCGCAGACCCGTGGAGAGTGTGGGGAGTGTTCAGATTTCTGCAGCCTGTTGGGGTACAGTGGAGTGATATCTGAGCTGGATCTTAGAGGAGAAGGAGCCAGGGGGTGGGGAGGGCCTGGGCACAGGGAAAGCTTCCATGTTTTAGGATGTTATTTAAATGCAGTTGGTGTTTAAGGTCCATGTGGGAGTGGCACTGCCTGGCAGAAGCCATGCAGGCCAGGAGGGCCTTGAGGCCATGTTGGAGTTCTCGGATGTTAGCTAAACACGTCGAAGAGACAGCAGGACCTTGGAGCCGGCACGTCAAGATAGCCGTTCGTAGAAAATGGCTTTTATAAAGGAAAACCACTTTTCCCTAGTAATAAAATTCAATTAATGCTTTTGAAAATTTGGAAAATACAGAAAACTATAAAGATGAAAATAAAACTGTCCCCACGATGGAACTGTTCTTGATGTTTTGGTGTGGTAAGAGCATTCCTAATTATGCTGTGCAGAGACATGAAATGAGTTGGTGTGGCATTGCAGGTTATTTAATGCACTGGTGGAGAGCCTGAGTCATGGACATTTCTAGGCTGACAGGAGCTGATTATTGGAGTCACTTTGGGCACTCCAGCTCACCTCTGTCACTCTGGTGTTCTTTCCACAGAGTATAGGGCATCCTGGCAAGGGGCGCATCTGGGGTGCAGGCCACGTGCCATTCACACCCGGCTGGAGCTGCAGCAGTAGTGAATACAGCTAATGCCCCACCAGCATGGCCAAGCCTTGGTGATGAAGGCATACCTAGGTTACGTTTTCAGTTTCATTTAGTAGAGGTGGTTCATTAGATTAGTCTGTCCGGTCCTATAATTAAATCTTAACCCTAAATGCTGTAGGAAATAAATGTTTCTATGAAAACCTCTCCTGAAAGTAATCTTGTCTCCTCTTCTGAAATGTGACATTGGATAATTATGCAATTAAAGAAATAGAAAGGAATGACTTTAAAGGTGACTTTAGAAAGTTAGTGTGTTTTTGCTGGGTGTGGTGGTGCACGCCTGTAATTTCAGTGGCTCGGGAGGCTGAGACAGGAGGATGGTGAGTTCAGAGCCAGTTTCAGCAAAAGGAAGGCACTAAGCAATTCAGTGAGACCCTGTCTCTAAAGTAAAATGCAAAATAGGGCTGAGGATGTGGCTCAGTGGTTGAGTGTCCCTGAGTTCCATCTCAATATCAAAAAAGAAAAGGAAAGTAAGGAAAGTAAGTTAGTGTGTTTTTGTCATGCACAGAGTAGTGTGGAATACACAATAGCTTCTAAAACTATTTATAAATGGATGTGGTGGATGTGGATGTTGAGTACTAGATTAGTGGCAAGCTACGTACCGACAATTAAACATGAATTAATGTGCTGTTGATCAGTATTTTTAAAAAATCAACTTGAGACAAGTTCAGGAATCTGCAGTACCCACAATCCTCAATTGAAAATAAATTCATCCCCCCAATCATATAAGCCAATACCTGTTTATGTGATTATCTCAGAGTTAATGGCCATACTGTTTCTTAACTGTTTCTTTCACTTTTCAGAAAAAAACCAGTTTGTACTGTTGGGGGGGAGAAAAGTCTGTACTGCTTTTGGCTTTCCCACGGGCCACTGCTTTGCGAAGCACTCCAGGACAGTGGGCAGTAGGGGTCGGACCTGTGCGCCCAGGCCTGGGCTTTCACAGCCAGGCCTTTCCAGTTGCCTGGGGCAGTGTGGCTGCTCTCCCCTCCTTCACAGGGTGGCGGTGCTCAGGGTCAGGGTGTGGAGAGCACTTGGCACAGTTCCTGGCACACAGTAGGCAGGCAGTGAATGTGGCCACCAAGGCCTGGTCACAACACAGCCGTTGTGTCTGTTTTCCTGTGACTCCTCTAGTACTTGCCGTATTTGTTTTTTGTGTTAAATGACATTTATGTTTTCCCTGAGCTTACGAACTACTGTACTTTTACCTTTTTATTTTTTCCACTCATAATTAGTATTTGTTATTTAAGGATTTAAGGAGTTCTTGTAAATGTGGTTTTGATGTTGAAATTGCATTTAAACATTTTCAAAAATGACCCAAGTTGAAGTTGGAATGTGGACTAGATCTTGCCCCATCATTTCTGTTGTAGACTGAGATAATCTTCCATTCCAGCTTTGGAATGTGGATATAAATATATTTTGTTGATTTGGTGACAAGGCAAAAAATGATTTAGATCCATAGAACTATTATGATAGGACTAAAATTAAGGGCTTCTCTGACTTTTTCCATTGATATCCTTACGTTACGTTTCATTCACTAAAGCAGAAAAGTAGACACCATTGTTATGGCAGTACACGTTCCAATAATCAAGTGAAAACAGGAGCTTCATTGGGTTGCGTGTCTGGTAAAAGCCTCCTTTCTAATTGTGCCAGGTGTCATCTGAAGACAGAAGCACCCTGTGGGCTTTGCTCACGTTCCATGGCGGGAGCTGCCAGCTGAACCTCAACAGGAAATGCACACACTTGGTCGTGCCAGAGCCAAAGGGGGTAAGTGTGTCCTAGGCGTTGTCCTTCTGTGTGTCATTTAAGTACTTGCAGTAACCACGTCTTTTTTGAGCTTCTTTAACATTACTGCATACCATTTACAAGAGCTGGTTTTATTGGCTTATATTATTTACATCCAGATTCATTTCATAGAAGATTTGAGCCAATATGACTTTCAGTTACAAAGAAATTTGGGTTTATTTTATAGGGAATGTAGCTTTTTTAATCTTAAGAAATTCCCTTCTAATTTCATAAGATTTCAGTTTTTTTTGTTGTTGTTGTTTTTTTTTTGGTACCAGGGATTGAACTCAGGGCTCTCGACCGCTGAGCCACATCCCCAGCCCTATTGTATTTTATTTAGAGACAGGGTCTCACTGAGTTGCTTAGCACCTTGCTTTTGCTGAGGCTGGCTTTGAACTTGCAATCCTCCTGTCTCAGCCTCCCTAGCCACTGGGATTACAGGTGTGAGCCACTGTACCCAGTTCAGTTTATTTTTTTGAAAAAAATTTTAGAACACCCCTCAACAATGTTATTTTTTTTAACTTTTAAGTTTTTTTTTTTTTTTTTTGGTGCTGGGGATTTTTAAAAAATTTATTATTTTAGTTGTAGATGGACACACAATACCTTTATTGTATTTATTTAAGTTTATGTGGTGCTGAGGGTAGAACCCAGGGCCTCACATGCTAGGCAAGTGCTCCACCACTGAGCTATAACCGTAGCCCCTGGGGATTTATTTATTCATTTATTTGTTTTTTTGATACCAGGGAGTGAATTCAGGGGCACTCAGTTGTGGAGCAAGATCTCCAGCTTTTTTGTGTGTTTTATTTAGAGATAGGGTCTCACTGAGTTGCTTAGTGCCTTACTTTTGCTGAGGCTGGTTTTGAACTTGTGATCCACCTGTCTCAGCCTCTTGAGCCACTGGGAACAAAGGTGTGCCCACGTGCCACCACGCCCGGAAGTGCTGGGTCCCAGGCATGCTAGTCATGCACTGAAGCACTGGCAGGCAGGGAGGAATGGGTTCCTCAGGTGGGATCCTTGGGCCTCCTCAGAAATGCAGGCTACCCCGCCCCTTCCCAGACTAGCTCAGTCCCAGGGTTGATGCTTGAAGAAGCACTGGGGTTGCTGAGGCAAGAAAGGGAAAAGCAGCTCTCTCCCGAGTTCTTTGCAGTGTTGAGAGTAGAGGTTAGTGAGTCTGTGTAGGTTCCTGTCTCCATACATCAGTCACTGGCTCCACATTCTTAAATTGCTTTCATTCTGAATTGACACTGTCGTCATTATTATTTTATCTGTGTGCGCAGAGTCCTCAGTGTAGAAAGGAATCGTGTGGCAGAGGGCTGAGGTGAGGCCCGTGTCCTGCCAAGCACTCCGGCCACAGAATCTGAAAGCGAGCCCAGGAGTCGTAGGTGTGTGCTGTGCATCATGCCAGCTTCCTGACGCAGGTGGCCTTGAGCTGGCGAGGCTAGTTGGAGCTCAGCGTTATTAGTAAGCCTCTAACCAAGAAGAAACCCTCTCTGAAACCTGGGGTGGGATTCTTAAGGATTATTTAAGTCAAAATTCACATTTTGTGTAATAATCTGATAATGTGCTTTGTTTAAGTAATTATTGTAGATGTTCTTCTTACATCAGTATTGATGTACAGCTACAGAAAAATCACTTGAATTTAAATAGTTTGAAGGAGAAATGAGCTCTTTATAACTTTTGTAACTGAAAGAATACTTCTGAGGAGTCAGTTATAATGTAAGAGGAAATGTATGAAGAGTAGGTTTGTCAAAGATGTTCATAGTTTGACTTTTAATTTCAGAGCCTTAAATCACTTAATTGTTTTTCCTTCCAACATGTTTTGAAAATGTATTGTTGTAAATCCTTATAAACTCCTTAAGTTTCCAGATGTAATGTATATTTTTAATTAATAATTCTTATGTATTTTTTGCAGTGCTGGGGATTGAACCCAAGGCCTAGAGCATGCTAGGCAAACAGTACCACTGAGCTACACCCCAGCCCTGGTTGTAATATATATTTTAAAGTACTCATTGACTTTAATTTTTTAAAGTATAACTAAAAGTGAAATTTTTAAAAAATTTTATTTGGAGGAAAGCCATATCTAAGATCTTGTGTGTGTATAGTGTGGGGTTTTATTCATCTCACCAAAGAGGCACTTTAAACATATCTTTTTATTTGACTTAACGTGTGCTTGTGAATGAAACAACAAATGTGCTGCCGTAATTATTTTTAGAGAAAGCAAATACTCTGTATTTTAAAGGATTGATTAATACCTAAGATATTATATGTACACATGCACTCTGCATATATTTAGGGATTATCTTATTAAAGTCTGTAATGGAATTATAATATTGTTTCATGCAATTTATTTACTCTTCATCCTTGATTTTTATCTACAAATGGGAAAAGAAAGAAAAAACATTTTTACCTTTCCGATTTTAATTTCCCAGTTTTAAAAGAACTAATTTAATGTGAGAAAAAGGAGCTTTTATTTTAGTGCTTACTGCATTTCCTCTGCAATGGCAAAGGTTGTTAAAAGCAGGTTTTTTGTTTGTCAATAGTAAAAATAACAACAATGGGCAGTAGTGCTCACAGCATACCCGGCAGATGTCCATTAGTCACCATGAGAAAAACTAGACTCAGGCACCTGCTATTCCTGTCTGTAACAAATAGTCCTTCTGTACCAAAATAGTTTTAAGAAATCATAATGCCCACATGTACACCAAAGAAACTAAGAGAAGGCAGTCATCTTTTTCACTGCTCTGACCAAAACACCTGACAAGAACAGATTTAGAGGAGAAAAAGTTGATTTGGTGCTCACAGTTTCGGAGGTCTCAATCCATAGACAGCCAGCTCCACTCCTCTGGACCGAATGTGGGGCAGGACATCATGGCAGGAGAGTATGGTGGAGGAAAGTAGGTCAGGACATTGTCACCTAGAAGCAGAGAGAGAAAGAGAACTCTCATCAGGACAAAATATCAATCTCCAAGGCATGCCCCCAGTGACCCGCCTCCTGCAGTCATACTCTACAATTACCACCCAGAGGGTTACCTGTCAGAGGACTAATGTGCTGATTAGGTTAGGCTCATACTAATCATTTCACCTCTAAACTTTGTTGCATTGTTATACCCATGAGCTTTTGGAGGAATACCTCATGTCTAAACCATAGTATTCTACCCCTGGCCCCTAAAGCCTCATACCCATCTCACAACACAAAATACATTTAGTCCGTTTTCAAGAGTACCCATGGTTTCAACAGTTCCAGGGTTATCCAGAAATCTAAGTTCAAAGTCTCCTCTGAGACTCGAGGCAAACTCTCATCATGAGCCCTATACAAATCAAAAGTCAGTCACATATATCCAGTCCTTAAAGGCACAGAAAAACATTTCCATTCTACAGGGGAGAAATGGGAGCATAGAAAGAAGGGATGGGACCAGAAGAAGAGACCGAAATCCAGCCAGGCAAACAAGCCTGTAGCTCCCTGTCCAGCACCTGGGCCACATGCATCATGAGGTTCTTGCCCAAGGCTGGTGTAACTCTGCCCTGGTGATCTTGCTGGTTGCAGGGGAAGGATGCCTCCATGAACCTCTACCTCCAGTATCCTGCATTCCTGCAACACTAGCACCACATGGTTGACGCCAAGGTCTGTCGCCATCTTGAGCAGTAGCCAAACCTGGGACCCTGGCTGCGGCAGCCTCTGAGTGCCTGGGCTGTGAGCACTGTGAAACAGCTTCCTCATTGCCCTTCTCCTCCCTGCAATTAGGGTGCCTCGCTGGTCTCTGCTTTTAGGAATTTTGACTTTTCCTGCACTTGTGCCTGAGATGGGTATGGTTTTGAAAATTCCTGAGATGCCCTCAAGCCAACCTCCCTCTAGTTGTGGATGAAGTAATCAGCATTTCTTTAGTGCTTTGATCCCTTTAACAATACACTTCTTCAGGCCAAGTTTTACTTGCAGTTTTCTGGTCAAACTGCAGGTTTTTAACTGTTTCTGCTTTGCTTTCTGTTCCCGATTATCACAATAAACTTGGCTAAAAGCTGCCAGTAATAGGCAAGCAAATGCTTGAATCCTATGCTGCCTAGAAATTTCTTCCATCTGATGAAGAAGTCCATTCCTAGCGCTACTTGTGTATTTAAAGTATCACTTTAAAAGTGAAGTTAATAATAAGGAAGGAGATTGAACAAATTGTGTTATGTATACATATGAATACAACATGATGAATCCCACTTTTGTGTATAATTATGATGCACCCATTTAAAAATAAAAGAAAAAAACCAGTTGGCACCTTCAGCATTCTGCCTAGAGAAACAGTAAGTTAAACAAAATCTAAGACTGCTGTGTGGGCAGGAGAACTTCCTGTGGCACGGACGCGTGGCACCTCCTGACCCGGCTCCCGCCCTTTGCCCAACAGGAGAGGTGCTGCGGGTGGAGTGTCTCTGGAAGGGTGCCCGGCCTGGTGGCACTCATGGCTGTGCGGTGTGTTTGTGCTTTGCTCACAGGAGAAGTACGAGTGTGCTGTGAAGCGAGCCGGCATCAAGGTCGTGACTCCCGACTGGGTCCTGGACTGCGTATCTGGAAAGACCCGGAAGGATGAGGCCTTCTACCACCCTCGCCTGATCATCTATGAGGAGGAGGAGGAGGAGGAGGAAGAGGAGGAGGAGGAGGAGGTGGAGAACGAGGAGCAGGACTCACAGAATGAGGGCAGCACGGAGAAGTCCAGCCCGGCCAGCTCCCAGGAAGGCTCTCCTTCCGGGGACCAGCAGTTTTCACCCAAACCCAGCACCGAGGCGTCCAAAGGGGAACTGATGTTTGATGACTCTTCAGATTCGTCACCTGAAAAGCAAGAGCGGAACTTAAACTGGACCCCGGCGGAGGTCCCTCCGCTGGCTGCTGCGAAGCGCAGGCTGCCTCAGGGAAAGGAACCTGGGCTCATTAACTTGTGTGCCAATGTCCCGCCCGTCCCAGGTAACATTCTGCCTCCTGATGTCCGGGGTAACTTAATGGCTTCTGGACAGAATCTCCAGAGTTCTGAAAGATCAGAAATGATCGCTACTTGGAGTCCAGCTGTGCGGACATTGAGAAATATTACTAATAATGCTGACATTCAGCAGGTTAACCGACCATCAAATGTAGCACATGTAAGTCTCTCTTTAAAAGAAATTTAAATATTGGATATAAGAACTGGATTTCATGTTTCTCTCAGTATAGTGTATTGTTTCTGCTGATTCAGACCAGGTAACTCACAAGCTGTGTTTGTTTGTGTGAGAACAACTTTTACAGTCACGTATGCACAGATACAGTCATGTGCCCAGTAACACCATTTGGGCTGACAGTTGACCAGTGTGGTGGTCCCATGTGGTCATGTCACCTGGTGGTGTCTAGTGGTCTTGATTTGTGTAAATGCACTCTGTCATGTTCCCACAGCAGTGAAGTCGCCCCAGGATGCATTTCTCAGGATGTCCTCTAAGATTGGCAGTAGGTTTTACGGGTCTGACTCATATTCAAGCATGTGCTGCATATTTTAGGGTCCTAAACGCTATTGCAAGAGGGGAACGGTGTGTATTAGGTGTAGAGCCGGCATGGATGAGCAGAATCAGGACGCAGTGGTGGAGCGCTCTCCCCTAGAGAAGGGGTCTGCTCTCACACTGTTAAAATGAGCAGTGACGGCAAAGGCTGGAGTGCTGTTTACTGGTCGTCCCTGACGACCATCAAGAACTCCATGGCAAGTGAATAGTATAAGTCAAACTCATTCACTGCAGAAGCCTTGATTTCAGTTTAGTTTGCAGCTGGAGCTTGTTGGTACAGAGTGGTTCTTAAAGTTCTAAGTAGGTGTAAGGTAGTGTTTGAACGGCACTGGAGATAAAATGGCCAGTGAGGATGAGTCCACTTAGGTGGAGAAAACAGCAGGCCAGCATGTGGGAGCAAGGTTTTGGTGGCTTAGATGTTGTGAAGAAAGTAGTGTCACAGCACAGCGACTGGGAGAAGGAAGGCTGCTTTGGATCAGGTGGTCTGGGAGGGCCTTGTGGCTGAAGTGGCATAATTCAGGGTTGAGTGACAGGGCAGTCCTGAGAGGACTGGGGGCAGAGTGCCAGGTGAGAGGAGAACAACTTCCAAGACCTGAGGGTAGGCAAGAATTGGTTGGCTGCAAGACGATAAGGTGGCGAGCTTAGTGAGGTGGGAGCTAGAGGGGATTGGAAGGCCTGGTCCCGGGGAGAGAGGATAGCTGTCAGGCGCGGAGTGCAGGAGGGCTCTAGAGGGTGGGAGGGCAGCATTGCTGAACGTGGTCAGGGCCCGTGGAGTTTGCAGCCGCAGCTCCCGATGTTAAGTACGTGCATGGGAGGGACGGGAGGAAGGATGGGCGAGGGCATCCTGAGAGGATAAGAATGAGACCACAAGTCATGGGCTAAAGGTCCCCTGGGGCTGGGGCTGGTGCAGGGTCTCCCTGGCAGCAGAAAGGCATGTAGGTGTGGTCCGAGCATAGACACGGGGACGAGCAAGCGGTCCTGGGTGCAGCCTGTCTTGACTCTGCAGCACGCGTAAGTGGGCATGATGAAAAACAGGCCAGAGGCCAGAAGAGTTCTTCAGGTTTTGACCTTAGAAATGAGAAGAGTGGTGGGACCCTGTGAAGGGCAGTGGATTCTGGCTCCGGGTCAGACGGCCTTTGTGACCTTGGCTTCCCCAGCCCAGCACAGATTCTGCTCCAGCTGCCTGCTGTCACACTCTGGCCTCCTCCGACCTCTCACCATGTCTTCCCATGCAGTCACCCAAGCCAGCTGAGTTTTGTGCCACTCTGAGGGAAGTAGGAGTGCTAGGAGGGCAGCGCAGCCTCCAGATGCTCCCCTGTGCCCTGGTCCCGGGATGTGCTGCCACATTTGTGTGGGGTCTTCCTTCTCGGGGCAGCAGGTGGCAGACAGCTAGGTCATCTCTGTTCATTGTGGCCGCAGCATTTATTTCCTATGATCCATGAAGTTCCCATGTGTGTTTTCTGTGGAAGATGAAAATAATATATGTGCAGAATAAAGCCCCCCAAGGGTACCACATGGTAGCAAGCATGCACACTCCCTCCCAGCCCCGCTATGTTTCCCTGGGAGGTGGCCTCCTGGCCGGCTGCACACTCAGACTGCACATGTGTGCAGGCCAGTGTCTCCAGCCACCTTCTGAGGACCTGTGCACATCCCAGGCTGCTCAGCCCTTGGGGTGGCCAGAGATGGGGCTCATTTCCCACTTTCCTTGACTGGGTATTTTTGAAGTCTTTTAACTAGAGAGAAGAAACAGTTCTTGTGCTGGTTTCAGGGCCATAAGAAGTGGTCAGACTTGTCATTTGAGCATGTTGAACACAGCTTATGCCATGACACGTTGCTTTGGTTTTGTTTTATTCTGTGCTGAGCAGGATATAAGTGTGATTCTCTGCTTGGTGGACATCTCTGGATCCCTCTTCTTTCCCCTCCACGCCCTCAGCATAGATCCAGCTCTCAGCTTGCTTCTTTTGAAGTAGGATAACCTAGAAGGGAAATGGTCTGGAGCAAATGATTTTCTCTAGCTTGAAATTTTTGTCCATCTAAGAAGCTCAGAGTCTTCTTTGAGGAAGGGTTGTCGGCCAGCTGTGATGTGATGTCTTAGTCGAGGGACATGTACCACTGCAACAGACCTGCTGCTGGGACCTTGTCTGCTCCTCTTTTTCTCACACGCACTGCACAGCCGTATGCAGTGGGGAAGGTGGAGAGGCCATGCTGAGCCTCACTGCTGCCTGAACCATGCCTGGTGTTAAGCTTGAGCCCCGCTGCTGCCATCTGAACACCTGCTGTCATCTGGAAGGTGGCTTCGTGGGTCTTCACTGGACTCTGGACCACAAGGCAGGGGAAACGGAACATGGCAGCTGTGGAAGGTTTGGGTGAGGCTGCGTCTGGCTACTAGATCCCTTCAGCACCTGTCATTCCCCAGTGCATCCTGGTCCCTGAAGGCCACAGTCCTGTGGGAGGGAGATGGGCAATGCAGAGGTGCTGCCGGTTACGCAAGGACCCCTGGGCTCAGTTGCCAAGGATCCACGAGGACAGGACAGCATTGCCAGTTTGTCTGTCTCACTGCCCTGTCACTGTTCTCTGAAACACAGCAGCCACGTGAGTCTTTATTGTCAGCTTTAATTCATCAGCTTATTCCATTGTGTAGTTTAAAATTTTGATGTTTTCAAAATATTTTTGAGAATGGTTTTCTCAAAAATAGGAATTTATTCACTTTATTGAAGTTGGTGATACAAAAATCAATACATAAGAAAAATGAGATATTGTTTTTGAAGTTTGCAGTGATTCGATGTTCCTGTTTTATTGAATGTTAACCACATAGACTGTCCTGTTTTCTTTGATGGAGAGACCATAGTACCTTTCAGGAACTCTGTATAATGACTTGAACCCACTTTTGTCTTCTAGATATTACAGTCCCTTTCAGCACCCACAAAAAATCTAGAGCAGCAGGTGAATCACAGCCAGCCAGGACATGCCAACGCCAACGCCAGTGCTGTGCTGTTTAGCCAGGTGAAGGGCGCTCCAGAGACACACATGCTGCAGCCGCCCCAGCCACAGCAGCAGCAGCACCCAGTTCTGCACCTCCAGCCCCAGCAGATCATGCAGCTGCAGCAGCAGCAGCAGATCTCCCAGCAGCCTTACCCCCAGCAGCCACCACATCCCTTCTCACAGCAGCAGCAGCAGCAGCAAGTGCATCAGCACCAGTTTCCTCAGCAACAACTACCGTTTCCACAGCAACAGTTGCATCCTCAGCAGCAGCTACATCGCCCTCAGCAGCAGCTGCAGCCGTTTCAGCAACAGCATGCCCTGCAGCAACAGTTACACCAGCTGCAGCAGCACCAACTGCAACAGCAGCAGTTAGCACAGCTGCAGCAGCAGCAGCACAACCTGCTACAGCAGCAGCAGCTACAGCGCCTGCAGCAGCAGCAGCAGCAACAGCAGCAGCAGCAGATGCAGAATCAAACAGCACAACACTTGAGCCAGGCCTCCCAGGCGCTCCAGCACCAGGTTCCACCCCAGCAGCCTCCGCAGCCCCCGCCACCCCCACCCCAGCATCAGCAGCAGCAGCTTTTTGGACACGACCCAGCAGTGGAGAGTTAGTAATGGGGTTTTGCTTTCTTTGTACTGCAGGCCTCATACTTGCATAGATGCTTCTCGAGTGTTTGAGGGTGTGGGTGAAGATTCACCTCTGGTAGTCCCCAAGGTGGAGAATGCAGATCTCATGCCTGACAGAGAGTCATCATGGGATCATTAGGCTGTCTTCTGTTCTTTGGGTCAGCCATCACATACCGAAGAGATGTTGGGGGTCCTGTAGAGCAGCCAGACTGCCACAAGGACTAACTCAAGAATATTTAGTGGTCACACATAAAATATGTTAGTTTTTATTATTTTTGGTTCTAGGGATTGAACGAAGGGGTGCTCTACCACTGAGCTACATCCCCAGCCCTTTTGTTCTTTATTTTGAGACAGGGTATCACTAAGTTGCTGAGGTTGGCCTGCAACTTGGGTACTCCTGCCTCAGCTTCCTAAGTTGCTTGGATTACAGACATGTGCCATCATGCCTCATTAATTTTAGTTTTAGTGATCATTTTATATGGGTTATTAAATTAGAATATTTGTGGCAATGTTCCAAATGTGTCCAGATTGCTGTGTATTTATCTCATATTTAAGCCTTGTTAGTGTAATACGTTCACATGAACTTAGCAACATACATATTCATGAAGTCCTTTCTTTTTCTTATATAATTCTGTTCTAGTTCCAGAAGAAGGCTTCTTACTAGGATGTGTGTTTGCAATCGCGGATTATCCAGAGCAGATGTCTGATAAGCAGCTGTTGGCTACCTGGAAAAGGGTGAGCTGCATTTGGAGGAAGGCGACTCTGAATTCCACGCTGATCCTTCTGAATGTAGACTTCCTGTTCATTCAGTGCTTTCTCTGAGATGCAATTGTGTGTGTTTGAGAAAGTTCTGGTGTTTTATTGTTAGCATTCTCTGTGACCTTGAGCATATCTCTTTCCTAGGCTGTAGATTTCCAGCGGTTGGGTGAGGATGTTGTATTTGATCATTCTTACAATATTTAGGCTCTGAAATTTTAAGGGGAACTAGTTATTTGTCTGTAATCAGGATGTGGGATAAGATCAGGTGTTTGGTGACCTAAGATGAGGACCCCAAAGTGTATGTCTTCAACATGTTTCTCCAAAGACACGTACTAGAGAATCCCAGCCTCTTCAGGCTAGAGGGACTCAAGCTTCTCGTGAAATTGTGGAAGGGCAGTCTGTTGTTATTTTGCACAGTGCCTTCAAAAGTGAGTGTGAGTGAGTTTCAAGCACACCTTGACTCTGCTTCTCTCTGACATTCTCTGTATTTAGACCCTTGACATGGCCAGGCCTTGCTTCAGGACCTGGGCAGGCTGACAGGGACACAGGTAAACAGCAGGTAGTCCGGGGTCTGGCAGACAGGGATGGCACAGGGTGTTCTGGGAGCCTAAGAGAGAACATTGACTTCTCAGGGTGCTGGGTGTTAAGAGCTCTGGAAGAGGTGATTTTGGGGCTCAGTCTTACAGGGTTAGCAGGAGGACTGTCCAGCTGGAGCAGCTTTAGCCAAGGCAAGAGTCTGCAGAAGCCATAGGCAGAAGTGGATGGAAGGTCCAGGCTGCAGCCCGGGGCCCTGGAGCCAGGACAGGGCAGGCAAAAGGCTGCCTGTCTTCTAAGACCCTACTTACTTGCTGTGTCACAGTGAATTTGACTTCTCCTTCTTGGAACCTTAATAGAAAAGGGTGAGTGAAGTTGTCAGAAGTCCATGTTACGTGGTAAACATTGAAACCAGCCAGGAGGGTGACTGCTGGCCAGCTGAGGGGTGATGACAGGGTGAGAGGAACAGGAGGCATTGCTGAGAGTTAGAGCAGTTAGAAAAGTGCCAGAAGTTAAGAAAGTAACATTCAGAAACCTTCCTAAAATAGAATAAAGCTCAAGTATGAAAGGTAGTGGTTTTTTCTTGTTGTTTTATTTCATTTTGTTTTATGTTAAAGGGTTATATAAGAAATTCTCCATCAGTAGTAGGAGTTTGGGAATAGAGAAAATGAAGGGGGAAAAGCATTCAGAAAACAGCTTACCATGTAATGACACGTGTCTCCAGCTGAAAGGAACGAGAGAACAGTGTCTGGGCAACTCTGAATGTTCCGAACACTGGAGGAAGGACTTCAAAGCTCAGTGGAGGGAGAATGTTAAAAGCTGAGGGTCTGCATAGGGTGTTGCACCTCATTTGTGGCACATGGAGCCGTTTCCGTGAGCATCTTTAAAACCCTAAGTGACAGTGATTTCTAGTCTGGAGTACGGTGCAGCACCAGTCAGCCAGGCGTGGTGAGGTGTGTGGAGGCTCCTGCAGTCAGAGCACTCACCCTTTCTCAGGGAGCCACTGCTCCTGAATGGGGAAGGGAGGCCTAGGGTGAGAGGGAAGATGAGGGAGTAGGAGCTGGAGCGAGTCGGACTGTGGCTGATAGATGGAGCAGGATGTGCTTTTGGCATTTGTTTGCTGTATAACAAATTGCTCCAGAGCTTAGACACTTCAAACAAGACGCTTTCATGATCTCCGTTGCATCTTGGGTCAGGAATCCTAAAGGGCTAGGGCAGCTGTGACTCAGGCTGTCTTGTGCGGCCCACTTCCTCACCACATAGGCTCTCCTGGCTACTTGGATGGCTGCAGAATGGCCTGACTTCCTTCCCAAGAGTGTGGCTGAGACGGAAGGAGGGAGCCAGCTGGTGTCTTAAGTCTAGCCCGAGCTCCAGGCTGCAGGAGTGGAACTCCGATTCTCAGAGCATCAGATCCTTTGTGGCCACATTTAAACCCCTGCACACAGATTTCTGGAATGTCAGGAATAAAATCGTGAAAGGGTGCGAGTTGCAAAGAAAAGGGAAGAGAGCAGGAGATCAGGGTAATTGCTGGCTCGAGGAAGCAAAGGTGCAGCCAGCATTGAACCACATGGCTGAGCTAAGTGACAGTAGGACAGAATCGAGGCCAGCAGGGTCCTGTCCGTGGGAGGGGCGGCCTTCAGAGGAGCAGCAGGCCCACAGATGGCACCCAGGTGCTAAGAAGCTGCACCAAGCCTGAGCTGGGCTTGGACGGCAGAGGACGAGTAGGTGGCAGCTGCTGGCAGAGGCAGGAGCTTGTACAGAGGCAGGGCCTCGTTCCTCCTGAGGCCGTTGGGAGTGTCACAGAGGAAACAAGTGCCTGCTCACCACAGAGACGAGGGAGGGAGACAGCCTTTCTTGTGGGCCTTTTTTAGTGTTTCAACTAATGTGCAGACGCTCCTTCTGGGCAGCGTTTGGAGCTTTGACACATGCCTGGTGCCATGTATCTTTGCTGTCAAGGAGCAGAATGGTCCCTTCACCCCTAAACCTGAGTCTAAAAATCAGTGTTTGGTATTTACTGATGTCATTCTGATTTCCTGTCTTTTCCTTTCCTTTTAGAGGAGTGGTTCTTGAGGGGCACATCTGCCCTCGGGGACAGGTGGCAGTGTTCACAGGCAGGCTTGGCTCTCGGCCAGGGGCCACTGCTGGAGGGTAGGGGTTGAGATCAGGGAGGCTGCCGCACACCCTGTGCTGCTCAGGGTGGCCCCAGCTCTGGTCCAGATTGCAAAATGTCAGTAGTGCCAAGATGGAAAACCGTGCTATAAGAGGAAAGCATTAAAAAATAATAAACTGTAAATGGATTCAAGAGAAACAGGTGGAGGGGGTGGGATGGGGGGTGCTGGGGATGGAGCTGGGGCAAGTTGAGCTCCGTGGCTCAATGATAATGTCAGTGTCCTCCCTGGAAATCGGGATGGAATGAGCGCTGGGGCTCACTTCGCTTTCTAGTGCTGGGTGCAGCAGGCACAGATGTCACCTCTCCTTCTGTGCCATGTGGGGGAGTGATAAATGTCACCTCTCTCTGTGCCATGTGGGTGTGTGGTGGTCCTCTTAATAGCCTTCCTGTTGGGACTTAGAGTTCTCCTGATAGTTGATGACAACTTTGGCTCTTTGGTGCAGATAATCCAAGCACACGGTGGCACTGTGGACCCCACGTTCACCAGCCGCTGCACACACCTCCTCTGTGAGAGCCAGGTCAGCAGCATGTATGCGCAGGTAAGGAAGCCCTCACCCGTGCCCGGTGCCAGCTGCCCTTCCTGTGTGCAGCTCTCAGCTTCTAGTGCTGGGTACTTTTGGGGAAGAACTTTTTTCCTACCTCTAGAAGTAGAAAAGTTGCTTCTTATTAGTGTTCACAGAGTTTTTGGTGGCCTAGATGCTTTTGTGGACACTCTTTGAGCAGTGAAGAAAGGAAATTGCAGGTAGCACTATCAAGCCACCTGCGGAAAGGATTTGGAACCATGAGCGCTTTGCAGGCAGGGGTCCCGGAGGCAGGCACCTCCAGACCACTGGGCAGCAGCTTCCTTCTCTCGTCCTGAAATTCCGTCTTTGTCTCTTCATAACAGTTCTTATTTGTAGAGGTCAACATGACAGAGAGCCTTTAGAAAGCCCTCCTGGGCCAAGGGTGGTCTTAGCGAAAGCACTGCCGGCACATGCAGGGCCTGGGTTCCCACCAGCACCACAGAGGAAGGAACAAGCTCCCTAGCGGTAGCTCTTCCTGGATCTGCTCTGCTGTTAAAAATGTACAAACACTGGTGAGCTTTTTTCCTGAGGTTAATTCTAGATGGACGGTTACATTTTTATACCTTGATTTACCTGGGACTCTTTTTGTTCTTATGGAGGCGTTCTAATTTGACCATCCTCAATGTCGTTCGTGATTCAAGTTACTCCTAAAGGTTGTCCCGAAGTTTGCTGCTCTTAGCACTCGTTGCAGGCTCTTGTCCCTGGAGACATCTTCAGGTTGCTTCATTAGGAGTAATCAGCCACACTGTTGTAGTTTGCTGGTTTAGCAGACTGTGTGCTGAGTGTCATGAAATCTGCTAATGGGACATTGTACTCATCCAGTCTTACCATTCTGAGTTCAGTCCCATTGTAGAAAAAATTCCCAAACAGCCACCTGTGGTCTTGTGTTCCATAGGCGATCAGAGAAAGAAAGCGGTGTGTCACTGCGCACTGGCTGAACACGGTGCTGAAGAGGAGGAAGATGGTGCCGCCTCATCGGGCCCTTCACTTCCCAGTGGCCTTCCCCCCCGGGGGAAAGCCCTGCTCCCAGCATGTAAGGGGCCTCTGTGTGGTTTCTGGCCACTCTTCTCGGGGAAATGGGCGCCTGTCCAGTGTGGAAGGTCCGTTCCTTCTCCAGTGTTCTCTGGCCCTGCTGAGAAGTGCCTGGTGTGGGGATTATTTGTTTCATCTCTTTCCCATTTCAGTCATTTCCTGCACGTAGTAGATATTTAACGGATTCTCCAGTCTCTTGGGCGGTGTGAAATCCTAACACACATTAGGCATTTGGCCCTAGCAGCAGCCACTGCTGGAGAACACTATCAGTTGTGGGTTTGCCCGTCTAAAGCTCTTGGCACTGGGGTTGTCGAGGGAAGTGGAGGACTGACTCCTTCACATCCCTGACGGAACCCTGTTGGTCGTGGCTCCCGCAGTCTTACCACTCTGCATTCAGCCCTGTCCCTTCGTCTTCGTACCGACTTCTTCCTGGACTTGGTATCTCGTGTGCCTTCCCTCCATAAGGGGTCGTGTGCAGCGCTCTTGTGGCCCTGGCACAAAGAGGCAGAGACAGGGCTGCATGTTAGTGCAGCCTGGCCTGGCAGAGACCTGTCCCAGCTCAGCCCCGGTCAGCCCTGTCACACATTGTCCCCTCTGTCTTCCTTTCTATGGTGAAGTACATTGTTTTTCTTTTTTAGTACTGAGGATTGTACCCAAGGGCACTCAACCACTGAGCCTCATCCCCAGCCCTATTTTGTATTTTATTTAGAGACAGAGTCTCACTGAGTTGCTTAGCACCTCGCTGTTGCTGAGGCTGGCTTTGAACTTGCCATCCTCCAGCCTCAACCTCCGGAGGTGCTAGGATTATGTGAGGCATATTTTAATTGGTTATCCTTTGCTAGGTAGTCATTTGCTAAGTAATTGTGACAGTTGCAACAGTGTCCCGGTTGTGCACAACAGCATTATGGCAGAGTGTGCATGCTTGGAGTGTGCCCGCCTCCTTAGTTTGGGCGCATGTGCACAGTCACGGTGGGCCACAGTGCTCCACTCCAGGAGGTCTCGCTGCAGCAAGGTCACTGGTGATGAAGGTCTGCCCGTTACTGCTTAAGACTGGCATTACCTTGTGTGCCCCATAATGCAAAAGAAGGAGAGCAACCAAGAAGTTGAAGAAGTCGTCCTTGTGTTTTGGGTCTAACCTTACTTGTTCTTTCTTCTGTAGATTATCTCCGTGACTGGATTTGTTGACAGTGACAGGGACGACCTGAAGCTAATGGCGTATTTGGCAGGTGCCAAATACACAGGGTACCTGTGCCGGAGCAACACAGTGCTCATCTGTAAAGAGTAAGCCAAGTTGGAAACCGCGTTTAGTCGGAGGTCACACCCCGCAGAGCGGCTGTTGGGACCGCTGTTTCTAACGTGCTGTGCTTGGGTAGACTGAGGTCTGTGAAAAGCCCGGCAGTGATGTTCATGGGAGCATGGCAGGATCACCTGCGAGTCACTTGAGCTGTGACTTGGAAGGGATTAGTGGAAGGGGGACTGGCGGGTTTCGGTAAAGGAATGAGGTGTGCAGATGGCACTCGTAGGCGGCTGTGGCCCCGTCAGGCCCCGCGTGCCTGTACCTGCACCAGGGACCCAGAGTGTGCCCGCCACTGCTGCTTGGAGTCATGTTTCTGTTTTTTTGTGAAAATAAATACCAATTTACAGTAGATAGTGCTAACATTTAATAAATGTGCTTTCTCCTCAAAAACAAAAAAGACCAACTGGTTTAAAGTATGAAAAAGCCAAAGAGTGGAGGATCCCGTGCGTGAACGCCCAGTGGCTGGGGGACATCCTGCTGGGGAACTTCGAGGCCCTGCGGCAGATCCAGTACAGCCGCTACACAGCCTTCAACCTGCAGGACCCCTTCGCGCCCACTCAGCACTTGGTTCTGAATCTGCTGGGTGAGTGGAGCCCCCGGCTGGCTTCTCGGAGTGCTGGGAGCCGCCTGCCACCTGGGCTCACACGCTGGGCTGGGCGGCGGGGGCCTCCGCCAGGTCTTGTTCTTCCCGTTCCCTTTCCACACTCCTCTGCCTGCTGCCCAGGCTTTTGTTGGTCTGAGAGACAAGACCCGGGAGGCTCCCCCCCCACCCCCCTGCAGACAGGGTGACCCTGAGCTCTTCCTCTGCCCTGCAGAGTCGAACAGGGTTCACAAAGGTCATTCAAGGGGTGCTTTGACCTTCTCTTAAGGAAGCCCATCCCGATGTTACCAGGGTGGCTTTGATCATGGGAGAGCTCTTCTTGTCCCTGTGCCCTGTTCTGTGTCCCTGTAACGCACCTGCTGGCTTGACCTCAACTCGGAAGCCACTCTGCAGGGACTCTTGCCCACAGTGTGAGCGTGCTGGTCCCATTGGTGAGCCTCTCCCTCTCGGGTGTGTCCTTCCTGTCACATCTCATCGCCACTCATGTGTTAGTGGCCAGACTGTGACACCCAGACCTGGACTCCCTCTTTTACAAGTGTCTAGCCACACGGCAGGAGAGAGGTGGCAAGTGCCTTCAGTTGGTCTCCGTGTTTGCTGCCAGTTGTGTGTGCGCCACTTCACAGAGGTGCCACGCAGGACTGGGAGCCTCGGTGCTCACAGCTGGCCCTCACCTGTCTCCTACGTGTGGTGCAGTTCTTCCTGTCTCCCTGGTTCAGCATGAGCAGCCCAGGAGAGGTCTGCACAGCAGAGGGTCATGGTGGGACGTACCTTCTCTCTCTCTCTCTCTCTCTCCAGACGCTTGGCGAGTCCCCCTGAAGGTGTCGGCAGAGCTGTTGATGGTACGTCAGACGAAACGTCCCCTGGTACTGCTGTGCCTTGCAGTGCGGTGGGGTGTGTTTCAAGGTCGTGTTTGGGAGTGAAAACGTCCCCATCATCTGCCAGTGTGATCACAGGTGAAGGCTGTGTCCTCCTTGTCATGGGAGGTCCCGTGCCCCGGGCCTGTGTCTCTGATGGCTGGTGACTCCTGTCCGTCCTCGTGTGTGGCGGGGAGCATTGTTGCCTTGAGGAGCCGAGGACTGTGTCTGGACCTGGAGAACAGAATAAAGTAGGAGGCCAGTCCTGCTTTCCATGGGGAGAGGCCCGAGGTGGAGGCCGCTAGTAGAGTAGGTGTGGGGCCCACCGCAGGCAAGGGTGCAGGAGGCCAAAGGCTGCTGTGCCGGGGAGGCTCCTGGGAGGCCAGGCTGGCTCCATTGGGAAGCTGGAGTGTGGGTGTGGCTCGCTCCAGGCACGTGGCTGTGGATGTGGAGGGTCCCGTTCACCCCGCAAGGTGGACAAGTGGAACCTTGCTTTCTGACTGGCTTATTCTCCACGTTGAGTGTCTGTCCAGTTACAGACGGGGCCATTTCGGTCATTTCACTTGGAACCTCTGTTGCCGCAGTTGCCTGGGGTATGTCGGCACTGTGAGGACAGCAGTGTCCTCCCCGTTAGTCAGTGCTTTGTGGCCTAAGACCTAGGACCACGTACACCTGGTCACATATGGCAACCTGTATCTTTAAAATGCAGAGTCCCAGAGCCCCCTGGGTGCACACCTGTGGTCCTGGCTGCTTGGGAGGCCGAGGCAGGATGGCTTGAGCCCAGCAGCTCCAGGCAGCCTGGGCAGCATGGCGAGGAAGCCCCTCTGCGGCTTAGGAGGAGCTGGTCCTACGGGTCCGAGAGGTGGGGTGGGTCTCAGGTGCCGTGCAGATCTGCACATCTGGACACGGCAGCAGTGGTGGTCGGGGACTGGGAGTTGTGGCGACTGACGTGGTCTGGAGGTGGCTGTGAAAGCAGTGCGGTTCACGTGGTGGGACACAGAGAGAACCTCTGAGTTCAAAATGTGGAGGAGGGCCAGGTGTGGTGGTGCATGTAATGCCTGTCATCCCAGCAGCTCAGGAGGCTGAGGCAGGAGGATGGTGAGTTCAAAGCCAGCTTCAGCAAGAACGAGGTGCTAAGCAGCTCAGTGAGACTCTGTCTGTAAACGAAATACAAAATGGGGTTGGGGATGTGGCTCAGTGGTCGAGTGTCCCTGAGTTCAATCCCCAGTACCCCCCGAAAAAAAATGTGGAGGAGGAGTGGACAAGGATAGAGCAGGATTGAGGGCTGGCTTTGTCAAGACCCCACAGGGAGCTGCGTGTTCCTCTTCCTTCTTGCCTGGCTCTCTTCTGTCCCAGTCCAGATGCTTGAGCTGGTTCTAGAGGATCTCAGCTCCTTCCTGAGATGAAGTCAGGAAGTTCAGTACCTTGTCTTGCCTTAGGTAGCACTGCTAATCTGATGGTCATGTGTCTTTCGTGACACTATGGATGATGTTCCTGTTTTAGTAGTCTCTTTAGGGAGATGGGACTGCAGGGATTATAGTTCTCACATGCCAAGTTGGGACACAGGATAAAATACTTGAAATAAAAACAGTTCTGAGGAGTTTGGGTTGAGGACTAGATATATGACACGAGGTGAGGACAGAAGCGGGCAGAGGCTGGGTCGTGGGAGAAAGCCAAAGTGACGTGGGGGTCTCTGGAGCCTGGCCTCCCCCCCAGCCTGCCCGTGCCAGTTCCCCAGGTGAGCTCTGTCCTGAAGGTGGCGAGCGGGTTCTGGTTGCCCTTGGTGACTGGGTCCCTCGAAGCGCCCTGAGGCTTCTGTGTCGCGTGGAGACTGAGCTAATGGACGGTGTTTGCATTACAGGGTGGAAGGTTACCTCCCAAACTGAAGCAGAACGAAGTCGCCAGTGTCCAGCCTTCTTCCAAAAGGGCCAGGTATGATCTGGCTGTCCTTCACAGGTCCCTTCGCAGAGTCGGGGGTTGGCGCGGGCGTCGGGGTATTTCCCACGAGCTGGACCTGAAAGTCCAGTTCTCTCCTTCATGATGTGTCGCAGCGCGCCTCATTTTATTGCTGCAGATAGTGAATAAAGACAAATTTTTGCTTTTTTACTAAAAAAGCAACAAAAAAAGTTTCTATTTAAGTAAAAGCTTACCACAGCCCCAGCATTAAAACAGAAGCTGCTGTGGGGGCAACAGCTGGAGCCCTGGGCCAGCCCAGGCCAGGGTGCTGTGGGTGCACTGCCCCAGGGCACGCGCTGGGCCTCTTGGCCTCCCGGAGCTGCGGTTCCTAGGTGGAGGTGTGTGACCCGCAGCAGGCCAGAGTGGAGGGAGGCCGGGGCAGTGCAGGCCGGGGCAGGGCAGGGCGGGCAGTGCAGGCCGGGGCGGGCAAGAGGACCCGCGGTAGCTGGGGCGAAGGCGTGCCTCAGGCGGCTGGCTGTGGTGGGTGGGGTGGCCTGTGTGGCAGATTCATGTGCAGACCTTAGACTCATCTGGTGCAGACACGCTGGCCAGTCTGGTCAGGGAGCAGAGCACGGCAGGTGCCAAGCCACCTCTTCCTCAGTTCTAGAGCAACCTTGGTTCCGAGCCTGTGGATGAAAAGCAGCCGAGTTGTCCCCATTGTCCTCTCCTGCCCTCCCAGGTCCAGCTCACAAGCTGAATGAGATCCTAACTACGAGATTGGTTTGGGAGCCACAGATAAAATTGCTTGACCATCTCATTCAAATATAAACCGAGATTAGGATGTACTGAGGTGCCAGGCAGGTGTGAGCGCCTGGAGGCCTGGTTAGGCTGCGTGCTGTGGTGGGGCAGCTCGCTGGGTCCTTAGGGCGGACAGCAGGCCACCGGGCCCTCTTCCTTGGCCAGCTACGATTGTTGCCTATGACAGTGGGGTCCACCCCAGTCACACACAGTTAGTTTTAAAACTCGCAGGAAGTGGAGAGCAGTGTTAAAAGAGTGAAGCTAGCAAAGTCAGCAAAGTGGGAAAACCAGCTTTAATATTGCCTCCATTCAAAGTGCATTTAAAAGGTGAGTTGGGGGGACTCGATGAGGTTGGGCACATTGACGTAACCAGAAGTTAGCCGGTGCCTCTCCTGGCGGTTCTGACATGGTCTCTTTTGGGGTGACTTGATGTCAGTGGGAAAGGGAGGACAGTGCCACACACACTCTCGTAGCTGCTGGACTGATGACTCCCTTGCTACTAGGAACACTCTGATGATCAGGAAACATGGAGCTCCTCACTGTTTGGTGCCTGTGTCTTGTAGGATTGAAGATTTACCGCCTCCTACTAAAAAGCTGACTCCAGAGCTGACCCCGTTTGTGCTCTTCACGGGATTCGAGCCTGCCCAGGTTCAGCAGTACATTAAGGTGACCTGCATGCTGCTCTGGCCCGCGGGCCGACCAGCACTGTGTGTGTGTGTGTGTGTGTGTGTGTGTGTGTGTGTGTGTGTCAGGCTAGCTGCTCGTGAAGCCAGTGTGGAACCCGGCTGTCTGGTCGTGGTGGTCTTCTCTTATGAAGTGCTGTAGGAGTCTGTTTGGTTAACATCTAGTCACAAGTCACTTCCTGCCTAGTTCTGAAGGTCACGTCATACATCAACGTCACATTTCAGTGCTTGGTTTTTTATTCAGATGTGGGACCCAGGAGCCATTTTTATCACTGTGTGACATTTACAATTACTTGGATATCATTTTTTTATTTTTTAAAAATTTGTTCTTTGTAGTTATATATGACAGTAGAGTATATTTTAACATCCATACATGGAGTGCAGCTTCCCGTCCTTGTGGATGTATGTGGAGTGTCACTGTTCCTGTATTCATATATGAACATGGGCAAGTTGGTCCACTTCATTCCACTGTCTTTTCTTTTCCCCTCCCCCTCCCTTCGTTCCCTTTTATCCAGTCCAATGAATTTCTGTCCCACCACCGTTGTGTGCTAGCATCTGCATATCAGAGAGAACATTCGGCTGTTGGTTTGGGGGATTGGCTTATTTCACTTAGCATGAGAGTCTCCAGTTCCATCCATTTGGCAGGAAATGCCATAATTCCCTTCTTCTTCATGGCTAATATTCCATAGTCTCTGGCTTCCAGGGGCCCGTTGAACTCTACGGGTTCTCTGATTGAAACACAGTTTATCAGGATTAGTTTTCTGGGAAAAAGGAGGTTAACTCAGGATGTGGGGGAGGTTGTATATGTTAAATGGTAAGTGGGAACAGAATCAAAAATATAGTTTTTGAAACAGCAGTATGAGAGATGATGAGATCCTGTTTGGTTTTGGTGGGGAGGGTGGTGTCATTAGTGGACCTCTGGGGATATATACTGGGGACTGAAGTTGATCAAATCCTGTGCCTGTGTGTGTGTGCCACAGTGAGACCCGCTATTCTGTGTGGGTGTTATATACTGATAAAACACTTTCAAAAAATAACTGGTTTACATAAGGCTGGATTCATACATCATACTCCTAATTTCTTTTAAGGAAAATAAATTATAAGTGCTTTTTTATAAATCTAATTTGTTCTTTCTACTTTTAAGATGTGAGTGTGACTGGAGGTCTCCTTACACTCTGCTTCTTGGTCCAGTCTCATGCCATCGCTTTTATTTTCTAAATATTTATATTTTAGTTAAATAGGTGGACACGATACCTTTATTTTATTTTTATGTGGTGCTAAGGATCGCACCCAGGGCCCACGCATGCCAGGCGAGCGCTCTACCCGTGAGTCCCAGCCCCAGCCCTGTGCCATCACTTTTAAAGTGGAAATAGTGGGGCAGCAGTGACCCCTGTCTTCCTTTGGAAGGTCTGGGCATGTCCACTTTTTACTTGCAAGTGAGCTGCCGTTCCTGGGCCCTTCTGCTAGTTCCTTGAGGGCAGTTGCTGCTGCTGGGCGACTGATTCTGCAGAGATGGCTGCAGAAGTGCCCTTGTGCCCGCTGCACACGTAGTGGCTCTGGGCCAGGTGGGCGACCTGCTCCCAGCCCTTCTGCTCACTGGCACTTCTCCTTCCCTCCGTTGCCGGCTCCAGAAGCTCTACATCCTTGGCGGGGAGGTTGCTGAGTCTGCGCAGAAGTGCACCCACCTCATCGCCAGCAAGGTGACGCGTACTGTGAAGTTCCTGACGGCCATCTCTGTGGTAAAGCACATCGTGACGCCGGAGTGGCTGGAAGAGTGCTTCAAGTGTCAGAAGTTCCTTGGTGAGTGGCGGCTTGCTGTGCTGTGCCAGGGGCTTCGGTCTCTTTACCAGATTGATCTGCGTTTTCATCCAAATATACAACTAGAGTATTGTTTGCTAATTATTCATTTAAGCTTATGAATTTATTTCATGTGCCAGTGATTCATCTGATTGGTATCTCTACATTTTACGGTGAAATATGAAGGTCTTGGACATCTGAATGATGTCAGGGACACATAAGCTCCACATCCCCCTCTGTTCTCTGCTTCGTGTATTCTGTTGGAAATGTGGCCGCAAGTGACAGTCTCACTGTCTATGAAGTGCAAGTTCTCCTCTTTTTGGAGGGAGAACAGGTGCACGCATATGTCCAGGTACAGCTTTGAGCATTGGTTCCTATTGGAGGGACAAGTTGTGACCTGCTTTCAGTTGAGCTGCTGTGGATCAGAGTGCTTGTGTTTGGGGCTGGATGTGGGGAGGACCCTTGTGGGCCATGGAGGGCCCCTGCATGTGTTTAGGTCCTTGCCACGTGCACAGCAGGCCCATGTCCTGTGCTCTTCTCCTTGGAGACAGTAGAGCCCAGATGAGCATGAGCCTTTATATCCTGAGTTCCGTTGGTCATCGTGCCTGCCTATACCCCACCCCAGCAGGAACTGCGAGATTCTCCATGTGCGTCCTGGATCCCAGGGGCCCCTGGTCTGGTAGGTAGGGACAGGCACCAAGGGCAAGACAAGCTTCCCCCGCATTGGTTTTGGGGTTACAGACGCGTTTCAGAGCAGGCACATTCGCAAGTATGGAATCCATGAATAACATGGCTCACTTGTTAAGTAGTATCTTGAAATTTTGGAAATTTTTTTGTTAAGGGAAAAGATACTAATGAAACAGAGGACAAGACAGAAGAAATAGTTGTAGATACAATTACTACAGATGTGTTGTGGTGTCCCCAGTTTTCTGTAACATGAAGAGCCATGCTGTGTGGAGTGTGACACTCTGTTCTCAGTTGAAATGCTGTGATTCCTCGGGTTCTGCTGTGTAGGGGGCGGTGGGCTCCGGGGGGCTGTCCTGCTCCATCACCACACATAGCATAACAGCCCTGCAGCGTGGGTCTCTGGGACTCTCGGAGCTGCTTGGTGGCCCCAGCCTGCCAGGTTGCAGATGATTGTGTAGTGAATTTGCAGTTCCCATACGTTCAGGGTTGCCGTCTGTGAGAACAGACTCTCTTATCTGTTTAAAAAATTCACATTTCATATTTGGTGGAAAATTCTGGTTGACTTTTATTTCATTATTGCTTTGTGAATAGATGTTTGCTGTATTGATCTTTGAGACTTATCAAGTAGTTCAGTTATAGGCATTTAATATTGAGAAAATTTATATTGTACCCTCCAAATTCTAGAGTTTCTAAGAGAATTTTTCCAACTTAGTAATGATTCTGTTTAAAAGGAACCCTTTTTTTTTTTTTTTTTTAGGGTAGTTGAGGTTCCCAGCAAAATTGCAGAAAGGGCAGATTCTCTGCATACACACATGTTCACACTCATGACCAGCATTCCACGCCAGGGTGGCACAGTAGGCCCAGTGGACCTGTGTGGACCTTTGGGCTGTGGTCGCCTGTGGTTCATAATGTTCCCTCTTGTCCTCCTGGCATTGCACATTTGTTGGGCTTCGACAGATGTGTAATGACGGACAGCCACAGTTACAGGGTCCTGCGGAACGATCATCCTGTGCTCTGCCTGTTCGTGTTGCCCTCACCAGCCCTTGGCCACCACTGATGGTTTTATTATTGTGTCTGTGGTTCTGCCTTCTCCTGTATTTGCAATTATATAGCTTCTTTCCCTCAGCAGTGTGCATGTGAGATTCCTCCATGTTTGCCTGTGGCTTGAGCTGTTTTTCAGCACTGAGCACAGTCCTCTTGCTATCTCTTCATCGACGAAAGAGGATGTGGCTGCTTCTTAATGTTGGCATTTTTCGCTAAAGCTGCTGTAAACATTTGCACAGGCTTTTTTGTGGACATGCTTTCCGCTCGTTTGGGTAAATACCAGGAGCATTGTTCCTGGGTCCCATGGTCAGAGTGTGTTTAGTTTTGTAAGAAATTGCCAAACTGTCTTCCACTGTACCATTTTGTACTCCTGCTAGTAATGGCTGAGAGTCTGGGTTGCTCCACGTGCTTTTTAGCGTGTGGTGCTGTGTTCTGGATGCTGGTGGTTGTGCCAGGTGTGTGTAGGCATGACTTGGTTGACTTTTGATGCTGTCTTTTCACCTATCCGTTTGCCATTTGTCCTCCTTGGTGAGGTCACAACCTTTGCCCATTTTCTCATCAGGATGTGTGTTTTCTTCCTGTTGAGTTTTAAAGAGTTCTCTAGATGTTTAGTAATAGTTTTGTCAGTAAGTCTCTTACGAACATTTTCTGCCAGTCTGTGGCTTACCTTCTCCTTCTCTTGACAACGTATTTTATAGAATAGATGTTATTAATTGTAGGTGAAGTCCAGCTTATGGATTCTTTTCTTCCACTGATCATGCCTTTGATGCAATATCGAAAAGTCATCGTTGAACCCAAGGTCACGTAGATTTTCTCCTATATTATTTTCTACCTTGAGTTAATTTTTATAGAGTATAAGGTCTGTGTCCAAACTCGTTTTTTGCGCTGGATGTTGAGTGTAGGTAGTGACGGGACTGCCAGAGGATCGGCAGACTGTCCATGAGTAAAGAAAGCTTTTCACATTTGTAAAGCATTGATTTCTTTTTTTCTATACTGGAGACTGTGCCCAGGGATGCTTTCCCACTGAGCTGCATCCCCAGCCCTCTTTATTTTTTATCTGTGAGGTAGGCTGTAGCTGAGTGGTTGAGGCTGACCTCACACTGGCCACCCTCTTTTCCTGCCTCAGCCTTTGGAGTCACTGGGATCACCGTGGCGCCACTGTCATTACCAAGCAGTGTTTGAGAAAAGGAAGAAGGATTTGGCCCACAGATCCTGGAACACGTGTCACCTGGCCCAGCTCTCCACCCCTTGTTGCCCTTGGGAATGTCTGGCCGAGTCCAGCTGTCCGTCGTGCTGTGTGGGTAGGCAGTGCAGGAGGAGGCTTCTCTGAACACAGACACGGCATAAGAAGATGGACGTTTTGTGTACTTTAACTTTGGCACCTTGGGAAGGTGTTAAAACTGAAGGCCAGTAAACACTGAAAGCCAGGCTATTAAAAATCCTCAGAAGTCTTTAAAAAGTTGATGGAGGCCCATTGTGTGTGTGTGTGTGTGTGTGTGTGTGTGTGTGTGTGTGTGTGTGAAGATTGAGCACTGTACACTTTTACACCCTTAAAGGGAATGTGTGTTGGCAAGCCACTGAAGTGTGACCAACCCACCTAATTGATACTCACTGATGGACGCTCATGTCCTTCAAGGCTCTGCTGGGTTGGCCGTGTTCACACCTGGATGTGGAGGCCACTGAGGCTGGCCCTCGAGGCCTGGCATTCTTCACCACGGCCTGGACTGGGAGAGCTGGCCAGCTCCCAGAACGGTGTAGGACTGCAGTGAGCGCCAGGCAGACAGGGGCAGCGCCCAGGAGGGCCCCTGGTTGGGCGGTTTTCTTTAAGGAGTTGACGGTCGCTTGTTCAGAGAAAGAACATGTGCCTTTTTCTGTCTGGCTGTCTTCAGGGAGGTAAATGAAGCACAGGGGGAGCTGTGAGTGTCCAGGCTGCAGAGGCAGAGGAGCCACCAGTGACCTGTGCTGCCCCAGCGCTGCAGGCTCCTGCGTGTTCTGAGTGTGTGCACTTCTGTTTTCCAGATGAGCAGAACTACATCCTTCGAGATGCTGAGGCTGAAGTCCTTTTCTCTTTCAGTTTGGAAGAGTCACTAAAACGAGCACACGTTTCCCCGCTCTTTAAGGTACACTGGGAGGAAAACCCACATCAGCCAGGGTACACATAGTGGTGTCCAGCTGCATGTGCTGGTGACTGGGTGATCACTTGGCCATCTAGTGGCCTTTCCTCCCAGGATACTGCCACATGTGGTCACCTTGTGGGGAAATGCAGAGCACCCCTGGAGAATTGCTCTTTACAATAGCTTCTTAAAAATTGGTACAAAATGGTGCTGGGGCTGTAGCTCAGTGGTAGAGTGCTTGCCTAGCACGTGTGAAGCCCTGGGTTCAATCCTCAGTACCACATAAAGACAAATAAATAAAATAAAGGTATGTGTCCATCTATAACAAGAAAAAATTTTTAAAAAAATTGGTACAAAAATCAAACTGATAGATTTATTAGAGATAAGATGTTCAGAGGAGATGGTCATAAATAATCCAGTTGTTAACAGACATTGAAGTTCATTTTTCTGCTTTTAGAAAATCTTTCAAGGACATTGCTTATATTCTTCTCAATAAATATGTATTCAGCTGGAGAAGGTACTTGAAAAGATATTAATTGAAAGTTGCATAAATAATTCAGAACTAAAGATTTTAAAATATTTGTTAGATAAGAGATTTGAAACAGTTGGGAATTTTTTTTTTTTTTTAATCAAAGAGCTAAACAAATCAATAAAGATAATCTGCTCTTTGAACTTCTTAAGGAGCCAGCTTAGGAATTAGAAGTGATTTGGAATACGGAGTTAGGATGCATTCCTGCACTCTACCTAAAGTGATCGAACTTGTCTACATATTTATTTGGCTATTTTTTTAAGAACAGTTGAAAACAAAGTAGTATTTCCTGACATACATAGGAGTAAGCTTGCCACAAAGTTAAGTCTTTAGGCGTCAGTGTTATTCTGACTGTGGTTGAGTCCAGATAGTAGAAAATAAAGACAAGGAAGATTGCAGGCCAGAAGTTTTGCTGTCAGTCTGTTGCTCGGCAGGAAGTGTGGTGAAAGGGAATATGGATTTACAACTGTATAGAAATTGTGAGCTAGGTGTGGTGGTGCCTCCTGTCTTTCCAGCTACGTGGGAGGCTGAGGCAGGAGGATGAAGTTCAAGCCCATCCCAACAACTTAATGAGGTCTTGTCTCAAAAAGTAAAGAGGGCTGGGGATGCAGGTCAGAGGTAGTGTACCCTGGGTTCAGTCATTCCCCAGGACATTGTGAAAAATGCTTACAACAGTCTTGCCTATTCACAGAGTACTCCATTCTTTTCTTTTTATTCCATTTCTTTTTTCTTTTTTTTTTGTAATTGTAGATGGGCAGAATACCTTTATTTATTTTTATGTGGTGCTGAGGATTGAACCCAGTGCCTCTCACATGCTAGGCAAGTGCTCTGCCACTGAGCCCCAGCCCCAGCCCTGACTTCATTTCTTTTAGGAACTTAGGGATCTGGTCACTTTTGATTATCACAGGTCAAATTTCATATGGAAAAGTGCTTAGTTATCCTCAAACTGACATTCCGGGGTTTTTCTAGGCCTAATTAGTGGGGAAATTCAATTTCAAAATTTCAGGAAATTCCACATTTTGTTAAAATCTCAGGGTAGAGTATGAAAATGTATATATTCTAAAAATCAGAGCATTCAAAAAATAGTATGCACATTTTAATTTTACTTTAAGGCAAAATATTTCTATATCACCCCTGGAATCTGCCCAAGCCTTTCAACTATGAAAGCGATCGTGGAGTGTGCTGGAGGGAAAGTCCTGGCCAAGCAGCCGTCCTTCCGGAAGCTCATGGAACACAAGCAGAACAAGGTGAGCGAGGAGGACTGTGCTGTCCCGGGCCGTCCCGGGTCTTCCCGGCGAGGCTCTCGTCACTGAGGCGCTCTTCTTCTTTTCCCCAGAGCCTGTCGGAGATCATCTTGATATCCTGTGAAAACGACCTGCACCTGTGTGGAGAGTACTTTGCCCGCGGAATAGGTAGGCGCGGTCTGTCCTGCGGCGTGTCCTGGGCCTGCGGGCGCGGCCTGGCATGGGTTGGCCCTAACGGTGTGGCTCTGCTTCCCCCAGAGGTGCACAACGCGGAGTTTGTCCTCACTGGGGTGCTCACGCAGACGCTGGACTATGAATCATATCCTTTTTGAAAGAGAAGTGAGGGTCTCGGCGCTGGCACCTGGCCCTGGGTGCTCTCGGGTGCATGACGTCACAGACCTAGGGTTGGTTTCAGGAAAACTGCTCACTAGAAAGGACGCGCTGTCTGGTTGATGTAGTTGGATAAAAGAGAAATACTGCAAAAATAAACCAAGTCTTAAGTATTATCTTCTTTTTAGCCACTTGTTTCTGAGGTCGTAGTTTTCAAAGTGAGGTGCAGATGGTGTGCACTCTGCCCCTGGAGCTTTGAGATGGGAGAGCTCAGCAGCGCAGAAGCTTCGCGGCGAGTGACTTCCTAGCACCCTGCGATGGCAGCAAGAGTAGGCTTTTAGAATGACTGTAACATTTTTATATTTCAGGCAATCAGATAAACAATAAGCCTTGTTTTTTTAAGTCCTTATTAAAAATATGAAATATTGTTCTAATGTGTGACAGCCTTCAGTGAAGCAAAGTGTACTTTACAATCCTTACCAAGAATGTGTTTCCACCCCACTTTATGCCTTGCCCGGGTCATGTTTCTTGGACCTTCCCCGTGGGCAGGGTGGTGGGGTCGGGGTCTGCTCTCTGAGTGCAGTGGTGCCCACAACCTCCAGCGGAGGCCAGCATTGAGGGGCCATTCGTGACACGGGGATCTGTTTCAGGTGGGGAGTGCATAGCCACAGAGGTCAGGAGGGGGTCCATCGGAGTCCTTGGTGTGCTCCTCCTTTGTCCGTTGTTCAGTTGATCGCACATTTCCTCTGGCCCTGAAAGATGACAGGAACGCAGTGTTACAGAGCTTTAACCCCAGAGCGTTGTGCAGAAGACCCCCTGGGTGCCGTGGTGAAGGCACTTTAAGAGGGATTGTTGCAGAAACCAAGGTCAGCTCAGCGGTCGGAGCTTGCATGGTGGGGGATGCTGCTTGGTTCAGAGCCCCTCCTCTTTGGCACAGAGCAGGGTGTTAGAAGCAAGGCAGGAGTTGTGAGGGAGGTGACAGAAGACCTGCTCAGTCTCTGTAGGTATGCCCTGAGCACTGAGCTTTATGAATGTCCTTTTGTGTCTTTTTAAAAACTTACATGAGTGATTTGTGGATATTATTTTAGGACCTTTTTTGATACCATAGCCTGAAAGTTGCCTGAAAAATCTTGCCAGAGTGTGTGTGTAGGACTGCAGGAGCTCTTGGGGACACAGGGGGGTCAGTTTTTGTGCTGGGGCTTGGGGATGTGGACCCCCAAGGATGCGCACTGGATGTGTTAGTTAGGAGGAGACTCCTGCTGCTGAGCTCAGCTGTGGCTTGGGTTGGCATCAGGCAGGCTGGACAGGCTCCAGGGCTGGCTCCAGCTGAGTGGCCCCCTGCATGTGCATCAGGGTCTGCAGTCCCTTGTGGTAGGGACAGGTAAGGAGAGTGCTGCAGCACTCTCTAAGACACCTAAAGCCGTAGAGGTCTGTTGATGCTTCTCTTTTGCCTTGCCTTTGAAGCCCTTTTCCTCAACAAGCCCACGTATAAATTCAACTGATGGCCTTGCGTGCTGCAGCCCGGATCCGAGCCCAGGGCTGGCCACCCATCATGGCGACACCAGGGCTTCCTTCAGATGTGCTTGTTTTCCAGCTGCTCCCTTGGGGACAGATGCAGACGCAGGAGAACACGTGTGTCACTTATACTGCATCTTATTAAGATGTGTGATTTTATTCTGAGGAAACATAAATTATGTTTTGTACTATATGACTTTATGAGCCCACATTAGGTTTTATGATTCATTTACCAGGTTTTTAAATGTTTTCACAAAACCATATGGAACTTCAGCTACAAATAAAGTGATGTAAATGAAGACCTTGCTATCTAAATTATGGATGTTAAAGATTTGAAATGTTTTGTACTGCGATTATTTTTATTTCTTATACTCTTTTCTTTTATATTGATATCTTGCCAACATTTTAAATAAATGTACTTTTGAACTTCACTTAGAATCGAGTGACCCCTGTTTTCCACATTTTTTATGCAAGTTGCATCCCACTGGGTGGCATTTGAAGTCATTCCAAGGCAAAATGTGGGTGAGAAGTTTTCTCCTGCAGCAGTCATTCTGTTAGGCTGAGCGTCCCCACCAGGCCGTGGGCCACCCAGCAGTCCCCAGACACAGCACCGAGCTCAGAGCCAGATACTCCAGGGCACACCACCCTATTTCTGCTCCAACTGGACTGCAGCGCCTGCCCGGCTGGGCTCTGAGTGCAGGGCAGGACGAGTAGTGGTTGCTGGCGTGGCCGCTGGCATTATTCAGATCTAGATGACCGTCCCATGCAGATGTACAGAGCTGCTCTCCTGAAACCCTGAGTTTGCTTTCGTGACAATACCGAGGGTTTGTGATGGGCTTGAGTGTTGTTCTTCCATCACACAGTGGTTCCAGTTCAGCTCCTGAGCACAGGTCAGAGGGAGCACACATTTTAAAAAGCATTAGCACAGAGTGAGCTGCTCCCTCTGGCCCTGCTCAGGCTCCCACAGACTGTGATGCTTGTGCTCCTCAGGTGTCTCTCCACTCCCATGGGACCTGTGTGCGTCATTTCTGTAGATGGAAAGGAGAGAGCTCTGGGGACATGATCACATACCTCGCATTCTAAAGTAAGGAGCGACATTGACAGTGCCAGCTTCCCGTCTGTCCCTTGACCTGCGGTGGTTTTGTGGTGGCCTGATTAACCTGGGGCACCCTCAGGTTTTAAGTATGACTGGTGTTTGTCACCGTCAGCAGAGACACCACCTGAGCCGTTCCAGTGTGACCTCGTAGCAGCCTGCTGGGGCCTACCCGTGTCAGCTCCTGAGTACCCATGTGGTAACTAAGTGCTTGGAGCGACTTACCCAGAACTGGCCTCTCCTGTCCCATAGGCGGAATCCATTGCCCATGCGGGCTCCTCCCTCCTCAGTGTTAGTAAGGTTTTGATAGTGTCCTTGCCAAGTTGCTCTCTGTCCTGTTACAAAACAGTTTACCCGACAAGATTCTGCTTGTCACAGCCGTGCTAAAAACCCAAACTCTTGTGTTTGGAATCTTAATCCCTCGTGACGTCCCGTCCACTCCTCATTCCTGCCACTCGCTTGGAAGTACTTGCTGCTGTGCAAGCCCCGGACACATCATGACCTCCTGACTTCATCTGCCGGCCTCTTCAGAGTGACCTCCTTCCTCCGGCAGCGTCCCGGGCACTCCCCTAGGGAAACCCTTCCTGAGCTTGAAACACTCCTGCCACCCTCTCTCCATCCTGAGCCCTCTCTGATACAGTGTAGCGGGTGCCTTGGAGGCCTGCGGTCATTTGCTGGCGGTCTGTTCCTTCCCTGCACTGATAAAAGCCCCAGAGGCAGGATCAGACCCTCCTCACCTTTCTGTCATGATAGGAAGGCAGAATTAATCCCCCAAATTGTCCGTGCCACTCCACAGAACCCGTGGCTACCATGTTACCTCTGCAGATGTAAGTAGGGTTAGGGACCCCAAGATGGGGACATTAGCCTGGATTATTCAAGGGAGCCCAAGCCAATCACATTAGCCCTTAAAAGTGAACAGGGAGGGTAGAGGAGTGGGGCACGGAGATGTGAGAGGACCCCACCTCTGCTGCTGCCTGCAGGCTGAGTGCCCCCACCTCCAGGAGCAGAGGACAGCCCTGGGTCCAGCTAGCTGGACCTGGGGGTCTTCTCCCTACAAATGCAAGTGACTGCCTTCTGCCGACGACCACAACCAGAGTGTGTGGGCAGTGGATTCTCCCCTGGTGCCTCCAGAAAGGAATGCGGCCAGTGGCCACCTGGTTTCCATGGGCTGAGACCCCGCCATGCTCCTGGACTCGGCTGTCAGTGATGGATCTGTGTCCTTTGGATTCAGCCCCCAAATCTGGCATTTTGTTATAACAACAGTAGAAAACTGACGCGGTGCCCAGATCCTAGTGCAAAGCTTGGCGTTGGTACACGTCTGCCCACAGTCCACTGAGCTGAAGTTGCATGGCAAAGTGAAGAGCCTTTGCAAGTTTTTGGAGGGAGCAAGATGATAATTCCAGGATTCGTTTGGAAGCAGGTGGTGGGGGGAGGAAGGTAGGTGAACAACACGATAGTCCCCTCTGTAAGGAGCAGGAAGAACTGGGGTTAGGATGGAGCTGTGGAGAGAGAGAGGACATTTCCAAAGGAGCCTGGTAAGTTCAGCGGGGAGCTTGGTGACGGTGAGGTGCTTCTGCTAAGGTCGTCCTCAGGAGCCGTGGGATGGGCCTTGAGCCCCCTTCAGCAGGTAGTGGAAGATGGCAGGGGACCAGCCGGAGGGGTGAGACGAGGGCCTCAGGCCCAGGGGGAGGCTTGCATCCTGCTGGGGAGAAGTCAAGGCTCTCAGTGGCCAGCCAGAGTGGAGAAGAGAGCTCTGCTGGCACACGCGCTTCTCCCCCGGAGGCAGAGGGCCTGCCGACTTGGGGCGGAGCAGTGAGGGAGAGAGGTGCTAACAAGGGGAGGGGTATCCCTGTCTTCCTGGGAGTAGATGGAGGTCTTCCAGGCACTTCCGTTTCTAGTAGGTGTGTCTTTAGCTTTGAAGGAGGAGAGAGAGGCAAGAGAAGTTCAAGTCAAAACCTGTATCACAGTCCAGGCAAAATGTTCCTCCGACTACCCACACGTTACACGCAGAGCTGAGTAGAGCCGGACCCTGAGGGGTAGGCAGCCCCTAGGGGTAGGCAGCAGAGGGGCAGAGCACGAAGACACAGAAGCTAGCCTCCCCACCCTTCCTGTCACCCAGGGGACTCTGCAGGCCCAAGGGAAGAACCGGCATTCTCAGCAAAATTGGCCTTCAGTCCCCAGGAGTAACTCAGCAACCGTTCACATCACAACCCCACATCGAGGGGTGATGGACAGCCAGCCAGTGCGACCTTAGTGGTGTTGCCCAGCCGCAAGATCTCCACAGTCAGTGGCGTCCAAGTGAAGAGCAAGTGCAGCCAAAGCCTGTGTGACAGTGACATGGCCACGACAGCTCCGTGGTGATCCGTAAGTTTGTGCACCTTTACGACGTATGTGCGCTGTGCTTCACTAGAGTCCGCAGCAGCAGAAGCCCTGTGTTCTGTGCCTCCTGGATTGACGGTCTCCAATCTGGGACCAAATCTGGCCCCCCAGATGTTTTTGTAAATCAGTATATTTGGAACCCAGCCTTGCTGCTCATCATTCCCTGGCGACCCTCCCTCTGAGGAGGCTGTGACAGACCTCATGGTCTCTGACCCAGAAGTTTATCATCGAGCCCCTCACAGACACTGTCAACTGTCTCTTTGCTCAGTTCCTGCTCCCAGTCTCCAAACTGGCATTTTCAAACCTTTGTTCTCAAACTCGAAGGCAGTCCCGTTTTTCTTCTTTTGACCAGGAGTTTTAAAGTAGGATCTGGAAACAGACTGGGCTTGGTGTTTGGGGAGGTGGTGCGGAATGGGGATTGAGGTGACCATTTGCAGTGCACTTGACGTGTGCAGGGGTGGCAGAGAGGAGAGTGGGGTGGGCCTTTGGAGCCGCAGGCAAGAGGCGAATGCTCTAGAGTGGGCGATTGCTGTCCGCTTCCTAGTCCACTCCCTCCTGCGCTGGGCTGTGAGGTCCCCAGGCTCAACCCAGCCCTTGCATCTGTATCTCTGAGCTTGGTGGGCCTTGTTCCTGCTGCCCTAAGGTGGCCACAGGGCCCTGAGGCTGGGTGCAGCACAGAGCCAACCAATTTGTTAAAAATTCGAGTGTTTTCTCCAACACACAGAGAAGCAAAAATAGTGGGGAGTATTCGTGTTGAAAAGAAGAAATGAAAATTGGACAGTCGTGATTTACAGATTTTTTTTTCATGTTGAAAGACTCAATGAAAACCAATTTTAGGACTAGTTCCTGTTGGCCAATCCACATATTGAGAATAATAAAGGTGGGGATTTTGCAGGTTTGCCTTATTTTGTGTTTTTCAAGTTAGCACCATCCTGCCTCCCCCCTCTGCTCTGTGTATACCAAAAGCCTGTCTTAGGACTAGGATGGAGGAGAGAGAGGGAATCGGACTTCTGTTAGAGCTTTCTGTGCACAGTGGTGGGGTTACGTGTCCACGGCCACTCTCTCACCCAGGGAACTCGGTGTCGGTTCCCCTCCGGCCCCTCTCCTCCCCGTGTTCCTTCCTCCCTCTCTGGACTTCCTTCTGCCATCTATTTATTTGTATTTGACTGGCGCTCTCTACCTGTGCATAAAGGCAGTCCCTGTGGCTTATGCATGTGCATTACGTGGTTTTCTAGAATCCATCCCCCTCTCCCCTCCACCTCCTCCTCCTCCTGATCCCCCTTATCTTCAGGTGCTGCTCCCCCCCCCCTTTATTCTCCTCTAGCTTCCGCAGGTGAGAGAAGACATCTGGTCTTGGAGTTTCTGAGTTTAGCTTATTTACTTAGCTTAATGATCTGGACATTCTCTTAACTCTGTGTCTTGTTTCTTGCCCCCAATAGGCCTGTGGTAAGGTGTGGATGAAATCAGCGCAGCCTGATCCCTGAATCCTCTCTGGACACAAGGAGCCTGGGGAGTGGTTGGCACCCAGACCCAGGTCAGGCCCCAGGAGGCTCTGAGCCCAGCCTGCATCAGCTGCTCAGCAGTGCCACCTCTCAGTGGTGCCTGGGCCATCCCCAAGCCCCTGGTCTCTGAGTTTTACCTGCCTGGTAACACCCTGCACTGGTTGTAAGCATCTCAAAGTCAGCCAACGGGGTGTCCGGGCAAACCCTAGGTCTGCTAAACAGTGAGACTGTGTCCCCAAATGCATGTTGACCCCACCCAGCACCCCAGCGTGTGGCTTATTCAGAGTTTTGAAGTTTTGAAGGTAGAAGGTAGTCACATGGGAGGGTCTGAATCCAGGCTGACTGGCAGCCACAGAGGGATGACCATGTGGGCACAGGGAAGGCACCATGGGTAAGCCAAGGAGGTGCTCTCAGGAGCAACCCGTCTGCAGGACAGGGCAGACTCCATAATGCCAGC